CTAGGTTTTAACGATTTGTTGGATAAGCAGGTAGATCTGAAAAAGCAAAGAAATTGTGGAGGTGAGCATTGGGTAAGACTGCAAATAACTGAAATATAGAGAAATGTTTTTTTTTAATTATTATTTTTTTATTATTCTTATTATTATTTCTAATTCGTTTACTTAACTTTGCTGCCTTATAAGTAATATACTGTATGTGTGTGTGTGTGAGTGTTTGTATGAGTGTGTGCATACATACATAAATATATATATATATATATATATAAATGTATATATATATATAAATGTATATATATATATATATATATATATATATATATATAAATGTATATATATATATATATATATATATATATATATATATATATATATATATGTGTGTGTGTGTGTGTGTGTGTGTGTGTGTGTGAATTTATATGTATATATATATATATATAAATAAACATGTATACATATATAAATATATATGTATATATATATAAATATGTATGTATATATATAAAAATGTATATATATGTATATGTATGTTTGTGTGTGTGTATGTGCGTGCGCGTGCATATATATGTAGATATATATATATGCATATATATGTATATATATATATATATATATATATATATATATATATATTTATATGTATGTATATTCATATATATGTATATACACTTATATTAAATATATATGTGTGTTTGTTCGTGTTTACATAGAGAGAGAGAGAGGGGGAGATAGCACGATCCCATATACACAAACTTCATGTTCATTACATAGATATCACACACAAACTAGCTTAGAAATATTTTAAAAGGTACTGTACTGCATTTCACTAGTGTAACCTGGACGTACACGGACACATACACACACACATTCACACACATACCCAAACACACAAAAGCCTCTCTGGAAAACCAACCTTTCTAGCCTTTGGACGTTTTGATATATCAGGAATAACCGGTATTTCGGTAGTGGGTATATCTATAGGTTCAGTGGTGGTTGGTGGCATGATAGTTGCAGGAGGTTGAGTGGTTGTTGGCGGCTCAGGGGTTGCTGGCGGCTCAGTGGTTGTTGGTGGCTGAATGGTTGTTAGCAGGGCACTGGTTGTTTCGGTTATCTCGGGGGTAGTCGATGGTAATTCTGGAATTCGTTACAGGAAAAATAATTGTCATTCACGCCTGAAATGTCTGCACCGTATTCATATAGTGTAAAATGTTTTAACACGTATTAGTGATCTACAAGAGCCAAAGCAAGGTTTCAAACAAGCTCCTTCAGGCATACCTTGTGTTTCACGTAATTCGTTTATCCTTTCTTGTATGAGCCAGATGGGTACTTTTGTCCCTTATATTTGTTTGAAGTATAATTGTACTTGTATATATATAGCAGTGTTACAACTCGTAATCTCGGCTCAACAAATATTGACACTTCTTACCTGTTGATAATAGTTGACTTTCGAGTTGTGCAAGCTCTGCTGTTACGTTTTCTTTTTGTGCTTGCAAGCTGTTAATGAGTGATTGCAAAGACTGAATTTGATCTCCCGCGACGCTGCTTGCATCTTCTACAGCAGCCGTGATGTTATCGATCAAGCTGGAGTCAATAACGAAGGTTCCGTTTGCTATGAATGTTGCAAAATTACTGATGAGCTGGCTGAAGCAGCTTATTTGGTGAGCCGTGAGATTGGACATCTTGGCAGAGAGATCGTCGATCATTGTAAGAAGTACTTCTGCTGGATCGCCTGTCAAGGCATCGGCTTCATTGACCTCACAATAGGGATCGACCGTGACGGCGTCGTCGCCGTGGTTGATGGAGTAAGTCAGCGACCGTCGCTTCCTTCCAGAGTTGCCTGTGGCTTGTTCTATGGCCTCGGTGACCTTCTGCAGCGCCGCCTGTGTCTCCTGGAGAGCAGTGACGGAGGCGTTGGTGGCAGCAATTTGGTTTTCCAGGTCTTCGATTTCCTGTAATAACTCTGCCCGTCTTTTTTCCAACGCCGATAAAGTGGCTGGTGATTCTGTGGTTGTTGGTGTCTCAGTATTTGGTTGTGTTTCCGTTGCTATCGGCAAAGCTGTGATTGATGGTGAGTTAGTGGGCATCACTTTGGTTGTTGGTGGTTGAATGCTTGTTGTCAGCAGAGTAGTCGTGGGCTCAGTGACTAGCGATATCGTGGTTGTAGGTAAGGGAGTGGTTTGTTCTGCTGTGTTTGTTGGTAACAGTGTGGTTGATGGTGGCACTGATGTTGGTGACACTGTGTCTGACGAAGGACTTGTAGTTGATGGTGGCAATGTAGTTGTTTGTTGGTTTACAACTTGTGTTGATGCTGTGTTTATTGATAGCACTATAGTTGTTTGTTCTTGAGTGCTTGCTTGTGGCACTGTGGTTAGTGTCTGTGGCGTTGATTTTTCAGTGCTTTGTGGAGCTGTGCTTACTGGTTGCTCGGTTGTTGATGGTGCCAAGGATGTTGCTGGCACTGTGGTTTCCTGTTCCTCGGTTGTTGGTTGCATGGTTGTTGATGGTGTCAAGGTTGTTGGTGGCACTGGGGTTTCCTGTTTCTCGGTTGTTGATGGTGCTAAGGTTGTTGGCACTGTGGTTTCCTGTCCTTCGGCTGTTGATGGTGCCAAGGTTGTTGGCACTGTGTATTTCTGTTCCTCGGTTGTTGATGGTGCCAAGGTTGTTGCTGGCTCTGTGGTTTCCTGTCCTTCGGCTGTTGATGGTGCCAAGGTTTTTGGCACTGTGGATTCCTGTTCCTCGGTTGTTGATGGTGCCAAGGTTGTTGCTGGCTCTGTGGTTTCCTGTCCCTCTGCTGTTGGTGGTGCAAAGGTCGTTGGCACTGTGGATTCCTGTCCCTCGGCTGTTGATGGTGCCAAGGTTGTTGCTGGCACTGTGGTTTCCTGTCCCTCTGCTGTTGATGGTGCCAAGGTCGTTGGCACTGTGGATTCCTGTCCCTCGGCTGTTGATGGTGCCAAGGTTGTTGGCACTGTGGATTCCTGTTCCTCGGCTGTTGATGGTGCCAAGGTTGTTGGTGGCACTGTGGTTTCCTGTCCCTCTGCTGTTGATGGTGCCAAGGTCGTTGGCACTGTGGATTCCTGTCCCTCGGCTGTTGATGGTGCTAAGGTTGTTGGCACTGTGGATTCCTGTTCCTCGGCTGTTGATGGTGCCAAGGTTGTTGATGGTGCCAAGGTTGTTGCTGGCACTGTGGTTTCCTGTTCCTCGGTTGTTGATGGTGCCAAGGTTTTTGGCACTGTGGATTCCTGTTCCTCGGTTGTTGATGGTGCTAAGGTTGTTGATGGTGCCAAGGTTGTTGCTGGCACTGTGGTTTCCTGTTTCTCGGTTGTTGATGGTGCCAAGGTTGTTGATTGTGCCAAGGTTGTTGCTGGCACTGTGGTTTCCTGTTCCTCTGCTGTTGATGGTGCCAAGGTTTTTGGCACTGTGGATTCCTGTTCCTCGGTTGTTGATGGTGCCAAGGTTGTTGATGGTGCCAAGGTTGTTGCTGGCACTGTGGTTTCCTGTTCCTCGCTTGTTGATGGTGCCAAGGTTGTTGCTGGCACTGTGGTTTCCTGTTTCTCGGTTGTTGATGGTGCCAAGGTTGTTGATGGTGCCAAGGTTGTTGCTGGCACTGTGGTTTCCTGTTCCTCTGTTGTTGATGGTGCCAAGGTTTTTGGCACTGTGGATTCCTGTTCCTCGGCTGTTGATGGTGCCAAGGTTGTTGGTGGCACTGTGGTTTCCTGTTTCTCGGTTGTTGGTGGCACTGTGGTTTCTTGTTTCTCGGTTGTTGATGGTGCCAAGGTTGTTGATGGTGCCAAGGTTGTTGCTGGCACTGTGGTTTCCTGTTTCTCGGTTGTTGATGGTGCCAAGGTTGTTGATGGTGCCAAGGTTGTTGCTGGCACTGTGGTTTCCTGCTTCTCGGTTGTTGATGGTGCCAAGGTTGTTGCTGGCACTGTGGTTTCCTTCTTCTCGGTTGTTAATGGTGCCAAGGTTGTTTCTGGCACTGTGGTTTCCTGTTCCTCGGTTGTTGATGGTGCCAAGGTTGTTGTTGGCACTGTGGTTTCCTGTTCCTCGGTTGTTGATGGTGCCAAGGTTGTTGCTGGCACTGTGGTTTCCTGTTTCTCGGTTGTTGATGGTGCCAATGTTGTTGGTGGCACTGTGGTTTCCTGTTCCTCGGTTGTTGATGGTGCCAATGTTGGTGGCACTGTGGTTTCCTGTTCCTCGGTTGTTGATGGTGCCAAGGTTGTTGCTGGCACTGTGGTTTCCTGTTTCTCGGTTGTTGATGGTGCCAAGGTTGTTGGTGGCACTGTGGTTTCCTGTTCCTCGGTTGTTGATGGTGCCAAGGTTGTTGCTGGCACTGTGGTTTCCTGTTTCTCGGTTGTTGATGGTGGCAAGGTTGTTGCTGGCACTGTGGTTTCCTGTTTCTCGGTTGTTGATGGTGCCAAGGTTGTTGATGGTGCCAAGGTTGTTGCTGGCACTGTGGTTTCCTGTTCCTCGGTTGTTGATGGTGCCAAAGTTGTTGCTGACACTGTGGTTTCCTGTTTCTCGGTTGTTGATGGTGCCAAGGTTGTTGCTGGCACTGTGGTTTCCTGTTCCTCGGTTGTTGATGGTGCCAAGGTTGTTGCTGGCACTGTGGTTTCCTGTTTCTCGGTTGTTGATGGTGCCAAGGTTGTTGCTGGCACTGTGGTTTCCTGTTTCTCGGTTGTTGATGGTGCCAAGGTTGTTGATGGTGCCAAGGTTGTTGCTGGCACTGTGGTTTCCTGTTCCTCGGTTGTTGATGGTGCCAAGGTTGTTGCTGGCACTGTGGTTTCCTGTTTCTCGGTTGTTGATGGTGCCAAGGTTGTTGCTGGCACTGTGGATTCCTGTTTCTCGGTTGTTGATGGTGCCAAGGTTGTTGATGGTGCCAAGGTTGTTGCTGGCACTGTGGTTTCCTGTTCCTCGGTTGTTGATGGTGCCAAAGTTGTTGCTGACACTGTGGTTTCCTGTTTCTCGGTTGTTGATGGTGCCAAGGTTGTTGCTGGCACTGTGGATTCCTGTTCCTCGGTTGTTGATGGTGCCAAGGTTCTTGCAGGCACTGTGGTAGCCTGATCCACTGTGGTTGTAAGTAGTTTACTGGTTGATGGCCCTGTTGTTGCTGGTGGCTCCGTGGATGTTTGTACTGCTATGGTTGTCCGAAGCTCAGTAGTTGGTGACAATGTAGCTGTTGGTCCTTTCGTGGCTGTCTGTGGTTCAGTGCTTGGCAGGCCTGTGGATGTTAGTTAATTAGTGGTTATTGATTGCTTAGTGGTTGTTATTGCTGTGGATGTTGTTGATACTTTGGTTAATGGTGGATTTGTGGTTGTGTGTTTTCAGCAGTGTATTTCAGAAGCTGTTTGTGTTGATGTGGTTTTGGTGTTATGGTCGTGGTTTTCTCAGTAGTCACTGGTGGCAATATGGTTGTTTGTATCTGTGATTGTTAGTATTACTGCAGTTAACCACAATGTGGTTGCTGGTAGCAGACTTGGTACTGTGTAGTGGTTGTTAGCATTGTGGTTGCTCAGTGGCTGATGGCACTGCGGTTGCTGTTGGTCCCAAGGTTGTTTGTGGCACAGTGGTTGTTGCTTAGGCTGTAACTGTTGGTCCCCGGGGGGTTATTTGTGTCTCAATAGTTGGTGGCACCAAGCTTGTTGGTACCTCTGTGGTTGTTGGTATTTCAGAGCTTTGTGGTGTGGTGGTTATTGGTAGTTCAGTGGTTTGTGATGCTGTTATTGTTTTTTATGTGATTATTGGTAGTTCATTGGTTTACGATACTGTGGTTGTTAGTTGTGCAGTGATTATAGGTAGTTCATTGATCTGTGATGTAGTTATTGATTTCTTAGTGGCTGTTGGTACTTCAGTGGTTTGCGATGTTGTGGATGTTGGTAGTTCAGTGGTATGTGATGCCATGGTTACTGGTTTCTTAGTGGTTTGTTGGTGGCCCGGTAAATGTTGTTGGTACTGTAGTTATTATAAGAACGGTGGTTCTTTGTTACTCGGTAGTTGTTAGTTGCACTGGTAGTTGTTGTGCAGTGGTTATATGTTGTTCAGTAGTGGATTTAGGTAGCACAGTCATTGTTGGTAGGTGTATTTGTTAGGATCTCAGTGGTTACTGGTCTAGCTGTTGTAGGCGGAACTGTAGTTGTCAATGATTCAGTGGTTAGTGGCTCTGTTTTTGGACTGTGGTTCGTAGTGGCACTGTTGTAATTGGTTGTGATATGGTAATAGGTGGCATGTTGGTTGTTGTTTCTGATATAGATGTTGCAAGTACTATGGTCGTTAGTGGCTGATCAGTGGTTATTGATGACACTGTGGTTGAATGTTGTTCTGAAGTCGATTTTAGTAGCTGGGTATCTATTGTTGCTGGCTATGGTGTTGTAGGCAGCGCTTTGGTTGTAGATATAAAAAACATGTCTGTTGCTTACTGGTTAATAGTTGTGCTGTAGTCGTTGGTGACGCTGTGGTTGTAAGTAGCGCTGTGGTTGTATCTGGTGACTCTGTTAGAAGAAATATCTTAAACTGGAGCATATGTCAGAGCACGCAAGTTAATCATTTAAACATATACATTGTTTTTCTGGACAATGTAGATCCAGTTCCGTATTTCCGTTCAATCAGTATAGGTCTATTCATGTATCTATATAAATCGTATCCGTAGCTATCTCTCTAGATGATATACATATATATATGTAATATATACACATACATGCATACACACACACGCACACACACGCACATACATATGTACACACACACACACACACACACGCACACACACACACACACACACACACACACACACATATATATATATATATATATATATATATATATATATATATATATATATATATATATATATACACACACACATTCAAATATATACATATACATATATAAGCATGCGCACATACAGACACACACACACATATATGTGTATGCACACATATATGTGTGTGTGTAGACGTGCTTGTGTCCTTGTATGTGTGTCTGTGTGCTTCTCTGTGTACTTGCATAGATCTATCTGTATTATTTCTTGAGTTGTGGTAATATAATAGGTATTTACCTAGACAATAATACGACTTTTATTTTATATGAGGATGAATCACTGTATGCGTAAGCAATCCATTTTTTACCTGTCGTTGCAGCCAGTTGGTTTTCCACTTGTGCAAGTTCATTTGTTTTATTTTCTTTCGTTTCTTGTAAAATGTTTATGAGTGATTGTACAGACTGAATTTGGTCTCCCACGACGCTGCTTGCATCTTCTGCAGCAGCCGTGATGTTATCGATCAAGTTGGAGTCAATAACGAAGGTTCCGTTTGCTATGAATGTTGCAAAATTACTGATGAGCTGGCTGAAGCAGCTTATTTGGTGAGCCGTGAGATTGGACATCTTGGCAGAGAGATCGTTGATCATTGTAAGAAGTACTTCTGCTGGATCGCCTGTCAAGGCATCGGCTTCATTGACCTCACAATAGGGATCGACCGTGACGGCGTCGTCGCCGTGGTTGATGGAGTAAGTCAGCGACCGTCGCTTCCTTCCAGAGTTGCCTGTGGCTTGTTCTATGGCCTCGGTGACCTTCTGCAGCGCCGCCTGTGTCTCCTGGAGAGCAGTGACGGAGGCGTTGGTGGCAGCAATTTGGTTTTCCAGGTCTTCGATTTCCTGTAATAACTCTGCCCGTCTTTTTTCCAACGCCGATAAAGTGGCTGGTTTAGTTGTTGGTGATTCTGTGGTTGTTGGTGCCTTAGGGGTTGTCAGCTGGGGTGTCGTTGTTGGGGACACTGTGGTTGCTGTTGGTGTCTCAGTGTTGTTTTCATTTGCTATCAGTAATGTTGTGACCGTCTGCGAAATGGTCGCTGACTGTCCTGCAGTGGTTGACAGTTGAACAGAAGCTGGTGGGTTATTGGTTGACTGTGAACCTGTGGTAGATGGTATCTCTGAGGCTGTTTGTAGATCAGTAGACTTTTGTTGGTCAGTGGTTAGTGGTATTGTGCTGGTTGGTGGCACAGTTGACGGTGATTCTGTTGTTGGTGGCACTGTGGTGGTTGGTGGCACAGTTGACGGTGATTCTGTTATTGGTGGCACTGTGGTGGTTGGTGGCATAGTTGATGGCGATTCTGTTGTTGGTGGCACTGTGGTGGTTGGTGGCACTGTGGTGGTTGGTGGCACTGTGGTGGTTGTTGGCACAGTTGACGGTGATTTTGTTGTTGGTGGCACTGTGGTAGTTGGTGGCACAGTTGACGGTGATTCTGTTGTTTGTGGCACTGTGCTGGTTGGTGGCACAGTTGACGGTGATTCTGATGCTGGTGGCACTGTTTTGGTTTGTGGCGCAGTTGACGGTGATTCTGTTGGTGGTGGCACTGTGGTGGTAGGTGGCACAGTTGATGGTGATTCTGTCGCTGGTGGCACTGTGGTGGTTGGTGGCACTGTGGTGGTAGGTGGCACAGTTGATGGTGGTTCTGTTGCTGGTGGCACTGTGGTGGTTGGTGGCATTGTGGTAGTTCGTGGCACAGTTGAAGGTGATTCTGTTGTTTGTGGCACTGTGGTCGTTGGTGGCACAGTTGACGATGATTCTGTTGTTGGTGGCACTGTGGTAGTTGGTGGCACAGTTGACGGTGAGTCTGTTGTCAGTGGCACAGTTGACGGTGAGTCTGTTGTCAGTGGCACTGTGGTGGTTGGTGGCACAGTTATCGGTGATTCTGTTGGTGGTGGCACTGTGGTGGTTGGTGGCACAGTTGACGGTGATTCTGTTGTTGGTGGAAATGTGGTGGTTGGTGGCACAGTTGACGGTGGTTTTGTTGTTGGTGGCAATGAGGTGGTTGGTGGCACAGTTGTTGGTGGTTCTGTTGTTGGTGGCACTGTGGTGGTTGGTGGCACAGTTGTCAGTGATACTGTTGGTGGTGGCAATGTGGTGGTTGGTGGCAAAGTTGACGGTGATTCTGTTGTTGGTGGCACTGTGGAGGTTGGTGGCACTGTTCTGGTTAGTGGCACAGTTGACGGTGAGTCTGTTGTTGGTGGCACTGTGCTGGTTGGTTGCAAAGTTGTCAGTGGTTCTGTTGTTGGTGGCACTGTGGTGGTTGGTGGCACAGTTATCGGTGGTTTTGTTGTTGGTGGCAATGAGGTGGTTGGTGGCACAGTTGTTGGTGGTTCTGTTGTTGGTGGCACTGTGGTTGTTGGTGGCACAGTTGTCGGTGGTTCTGATGTTGGTGGCACAGTTATCGGCGGTTCTGTTGGTGCCACTGTGCTGGTTGGTGGCACAGATGGTGATGGTGATTCTGTTGCCGGTGGCACTGTGGTGGTTGGTGGAACTGTGGTGGTTGGTGGCACTGTGGTGGTTGGTGGCATTGTGGTAGTTGGTGGCACAGTTGACGGTGATTCTGTTGTTTGTGGCACTGTGCTGGTTGGTGACAATGTGGTAGTTGGTGGCACAGTTGTCGGTGGTTCTGTTGTTGGTGGCACTGTGGTGGTTGGTGGCACAGTTGACGGTGATTCTGTTGTTGGTGGCACTGTGGTGGTTGGTGACAATGTGGTAGTTGGTGGCACAGTTGTCGGTGGTTCTGTTGTTGGTGGCACTGTGGTGGTTGGTGGCACAGTTGACGGTGAGTCTGTTGTTGGTGGCACTGTGGTCGTTGGTGGCACAGTTGACGGTGAGTCTGTTGTTGGTGGCACTGTGGTGGTTGGTGGCACAGTTGACGGTGATTCTGTTGTTGGTGGCACTGTGGTGGTTGGTGACAATGTGGTAGTTGGTGGCACAGTTGACGGTGAGTCTGTTGTTGGTGGCACTGTGGTCGTTGGTGGCACAGTTGACGGTGAGTCTGTTGTTGGTGGCACTGTGGTCGTTGGTGGCACAGTTGACGGTGAGTCTGTTGTTGGTGGCACTGTGGTGGTTGGTGGCACAGTTGACGGTGAGTCTGTTGTTGGTGGCACTGTGGTCGTTGGTGGCACAGTTGACGGTGAGTCTGTTGTTGGTGGCACTGTGGTCGTTGGTGGCACAGTTGACAGTGAGTCTGTTGTTGGTGGCACTGTGGTCGTTGGTGGCACAGTTGACGGTGAGTCTGTTGTTGGTGGCACTGTGGTCGTTGGTGGCACAGTTGACGGTGATTCTGTTGTTGGTGGCACTGTGGTGGTTGGTGGCACAGTTGACGGTGAGTCTGTTGTTGGTGGCACTGTGGTGGTTGGTGATCATGTGGTAGTTGGTGGCACAGTTGATCGGTGAGTCTGTTGTTGGTGGCACTGTGGTAGTTGGTGGCACAGTTGACGGTGAGTCTGTTGTTGGTGGCACTGTGGTGGTTGGTGGCACAGTTGACGGTGATTCTGTGTTGGTGGCACTGTGGTGGTTGGTGACAATGTGGTAGTTGGTGGCACAGTTGTCGGTGGTTCTGTTGTTGGTGGCACTGTGGTCGTTGGTGGCACAGTTGACGGTGAGTCTGTTGTTGGTGGCACTGTGGTCGTTGGTGGCACAGTTGACGGTGATTCTGTTGTTGGTGGCACTGTGGTGGTTGGTGCACATGTGGTAGTTGGTGGCACAGTTGGGCCAGGTGACGGTGAGTCTGTTGTTGGTGGCACTGTGGTCGTTGGTGGCACAGTTGCCGGTGGATTCTGTTGTTGGTGGCACTGTGGTCGTTGGTGGCACAGTTGACGGTGATTCTGTTGTTGGTGGACTGTGGTGGTTGGTGACAATGTGGTAGTTGGTGGCACAGTTAACGGTGAGTCTGTTGTTGGTGGCACTGTGGTCGTTGGTGGCACAGTTGACGGTGAGTCTGTTGTTGGGTGGCACTGTGGTCGTTGGTGGCACAGTTGACGGTGATTCTGTTGTTGGTGGCACTGTGGTGGTTGGTGGCACAGTTGATGGTGATTCTGTTGTTGGTGGCACTGTGGTGGTTGGTGACAATGTGTTAGTTGGTGGCACAGTTGACGGTGAGTCTGTTGTTGGTGGCACTGTGGTCGTTGGTGGCACAGTTGACGGTGAGTCTGTTGTTGGAGGCACTGTGGTCGTTGGTAGCACAGTTGACGGTGATTCTGTTGTTGGTGGCACTGTGGTGGTTGGTGACAATGTGGTAGGTTGGTGGCACAGTTGCGGTGAGTCTGTTGTTGGTGGCACTGTGGTCGTTGGTGACACAGTTGATGGTGATTCTGTTGTTGGTGGCACTGTGGTGGTTGGTGACAATGTGGTAGTTGGTGGCACAGTTGACGGTGAGTCTGTTGTTGGTGGCACTGTAGTCGTTTGTGGCACAGTTGACGGTAAGTCTGTTGTTGGAGGCACTGTGGTGGTTGGTGGCACAGTTGACGGTGATTCTGTTGTTGGTGGCACTGTGGTGGTTGGTGACAATGTGGTAGTTGGTGGCACAGTTGACGGTGAGTCTGTTGTTGGTGGCACTGTGGTCGTTGGTGGCATAGTTGACGGTGAGTCTGTTGTTGGTGGCACTGTGGTCGTTGGTGGCACAGTTGACGGTGATTCTGTTGTTGGTGGCACTGTGGTGGTTGGTGGCACAGTTGACGGTGATTCTGTTGTTGGTGGCAATGTGGTGGTTCGTGGCACTGTGCTGGTTGGTGGCACAGTTGTCGGTGATTCTGTTGGTGGTGGCAATGTGGTGGTTGGTGGCACTGTGCTGGTTGGTGGCACAGTTGTCGGTGATTCTGTTGTTATTGGCACTGTGGTGGTTGGTGGCACTGTGGTGGTTGGTGGCACAGTTGTCGGTGATTCTGTTGGTGGTGGCAATGTGGTGGTTGGTGGCACTGTGGTGGTTGGTGGCGCAGTTGACGGTGATTCTGTTGGTGGTGGCACTGTGGTGGTTGGTGGCACTGTGCTGGTTGGTGGCACAGTTGTCGGTGATTCTGTTGTTGGTGGCACTGTGGTGGTTGGTGGCACTGTGCTGGTTGGTGGCACAGTTGTCGGTGATTCTGTTGGTGGTGGGAATGTGGTGGTTGGTGGCACTGTGGTGGTTGGTGGCACAGTTGACGGTGATTCTGTTGGTGGTGGCACTGTGCTGGTTGGTGGCACAGTTGTCGGTGATTCTGTTGTTGGTGGAAATGTGGTGGTTGGTGGCACAGTTATCGGTGGTTTTGTTGTTGGTGGCACTGTGGTGGTTGGTGGCACAGTTGACGGTGAGTCTGTTGTTGGTGGCACTGTGGTGGTTGGTGGCACAGTTGTCGGTGGTTCTGTTGTTGGTGGCACTGTGGTGGTTGGTGGCACAGTTATCGGTGGTTTTGTTGTTGGTGGCAATGAGGTGGTTGGTGGCACAGTTGTTGGTGGTTCTGTTGTTGGTGGCACTGTGGTGGTTGGTGGCACAGTTGTCGGTGATACTGTTGTTGGTGGCACTGTGGTGGTTGGTGGCAAAGTTGACGGTGATTCTGTGGTGGGTGGCACTGTGGTGGTTGGTGGCACTGTGGTGGTTGGTGGCACAGTTGTCGGTGATTCTGTTGTTGGTGGAAATGTGGTGGTTGGTGGCACAGTTGACGGTGATTCTGTTGTTGGTGGATATGTGGTGGTTGGTGGCACAGTTAACGGTGAGTCTGTTGTTGGTGGCACTGTGGTGGTTGGTGGCACAGTTATCGGTGGTTTTGTTGTTGGTGGCACAGTTGTCGGCGGTTCTGTTGTTGGTGGCACTGTGGTTGTTGGTGGCACAGTTGACGGTGAGTCTGTTGTTGGTGGCAATGAGGTGGTTGGTGGCACAGTTGTTGGTGGTTTTGTTGCTGGTGTCACTGTGGTGGTTGGTGTCACTGTGGTGGTTGGTGGCACAGTTGACGGTGAGTCTGTTGTAAGTGGCACTGTGGTGGTTGTTGGCACAGTTGTCGGCGGTTCTGTTGTTGGTGGCACTGTGGTGGTTGGTGGCACAGTTGTCGGTGGTTCTGTTGGTGGTGGCACTGTGGTGGTTGGTGGCACAGTTGTCGGTGATTCTGTTATTTGTGGCACTGTGGTGGTTGGTGGAACAGTTGTCAGTGATTCTGTTGTTGGTGGCACTGTGGTGGTTGGTGGCACAGTTGACGGTGAGTTTGTTGTTGGTGCTACTGTTCTTGTTGATGGCACTGTGGTGGTTGGTGGCATAGTTGACGGTGATTCTGTTGCTGGTGGCACTGTGGTGGTTGGTGGCAAAGTTGCCGGTGAATCTGTTGTTGGTGGCACTGTGGTGGTTGGTGGCACAGTTGCCGGTGAATCTGTTGTTGGTGGCACTGTGGTGGTTGGTGGCACTGTGCTGATTGGTGGCATAGTTGGTGGTGATTCTGTTGTTGGTGGCACTGTGGTGGTTGGTGGCACAGTTGACGGTGAGTCTGTTGTTGGTGGCTGTATGGTGGTTGGCGGCACTGTGGTGGTTGGTGGCACTGTGGTAGTTGGTGGCACAGTTGTCGGTGGTTTTGTTGTTGGTGGCACTGTGGTGGATGGTGGCAAAGTTGACGGTGAGTCTGTTGTAAGTGGCACTGTGGTGGTTGGTGGCACAGTTGTCGGTGGTTCTGTTGTTGGTGGCACTGTGGTGGTTGGTGGCACAGTTGACGGTGAGTCTGTTGTAAGTGGCACTGTGGTGGTTGGTGGCACAGTTGTCGGTGGTTCTGTTGTTGGTGGCACTGTGGTGGTTGGTGGAACAGTTGTCGGTGATTCTGTTGTTGGTGGCACTGTGGTGGTTGGTGGCACAGTTGCCGGTGAATCTGTTGTTGGTGGCACTATGGTGGTTGGCGACACTGTGGTGGTTGGTGGCACTGTGGTAGTTGGTGGCACTGTTGTCGGCGGTTCTGTTATTGGTGGCACTGTGGTGGTTGGTGGCACACTTGTCGGTGATTCTGTTGTTGGTGGCACTGTGGTGGTTGGTGGCACAGTTGTCGGCGGTTCTGTTGTTGGTGGCACTGTGGTGGTTGGTGGCACAGTTGTCGGTGATTCTGTTGTTGGTGGCACTGTGGTAGTGGGTGGCACAGTTGATGGTGAGTCTGTTGTTGGTGGCACTGTGGTGGTTGGTGGCACAGTTGTCAGTGGTTTTGTTGTTGGTGGCACTGTGGCGGTTGGTGGCACAGTTGATGACGGTTCTGTTGTTGGTGGCACTGTGGTGGTTGGCGGCACAGTTGTCGGTGGTTTTGTTGTTGGTGGCACTGTGGTGGTTGGTGGCACAGTTGGTGACGGTTCTGTTGTTGGTGGCACTGTGGTGGTTGGTGGCACAGTTGTCAGTGGTTTTGTTGTTGGTGGCACTGTGGTGGTTGGTGGCACAGTTGCCGGTGAGTCTGTTGTAAGTGGCACTGTGGTGGTTGGTGGCACAGTTGGTGACGGTTCTGTTGTTGGTGGCACTGTGGTGGTTGGTGGCACAGTTGTCAGTGGTTTTGTTGTTGGTGGCACTGTGGTGGTTTTTGGCACAGTTGCCGGTGAGTCTGTTGTAAGTGGCACTGTGGTGGTTGGTGGCACAGTTGGTGACGGTTCTGTTGTTGTTGGCACTGTGGGGGTTGGTGACACAGTTGACCGTGATTCTGTTGTTGGTGGCAGCATGGTGGTTTGTGGCACTATGGTGGTTGGTGGAACTGTGGTGGTTGGTGGCAATGTGGTGGTTGATGGTACTGAGGAGGTTGGTGGCACTGTGGTAGTTGGTGGCACAGTGGTGGTTGGTGGCACTGTGGTGGTTGGTGGCACAGTTGACGGTGATTCTGTTGTTGGTGGCACTGTGGTGGTTGGTGACACTGTGGTGGTTGGTGACACTGTGGGGGTTGGTGGCACCGTGGTGGTTGGTTGCACTGTAGTGGTTGGTGGCACTGTGGTGGTTGGTGGCACTGTGGAGGTTGGTGGCACAGTTTTCGGTGATTCTTTTGTTGGTGGCACTGTGGTGGTTGGTGGCACAGTTGACGGTGATTCTTTTGTTGGTGGCACTGTGGTGGTTGGTGGCATAGTTGACGGTGAGTCTGTTTTTGGTGACACTGTGGTGGTTGGTGGCACTGTGGTGGTTGGTGGCACAGTTGAAGTGGATGGTGAGTCTGTTGCTGGTGGCACTATGGTGGTTGGTGGCACAGTTGTCGGTGATTCTGTTGTTGGTGGCACTGTGGTGGTTAGTGGCATATTTGTCGGCGGTTCTGTTGGTGGCACAGTTGTTGAGGATTTTGTTGTAGGTGTGGAAGTTTGTGGAACAGTAGTTGGTTGATTAGGTGTTTGTAGGTTTGTGGTTATGGTTGGTAAATTATGTAAATATCTGCGTGTGTATTTGCTATCAATGTTTGATTATTGTCATATACACATTGTTTACTTGTTTAATGCATAGATAAAGCCTATTACTTAGACATAAATCCTTACCTGTTGTTGCTGCTATTTGGCTCTCCACTTGGTCAAGCTCATCCGTTTTATTTTGTTTTTGTTCTTGCAAAATATTGACGAGCAGTTGAACTGATTGGACTTGGTCTCCCACGACACTGCTTGCTGCTTCTACCGCGGTCGTGATGTTATCTAATACAGTCGAATCGATAACGAAGGTTCCATTCTCTATGAGTGTGGCGAAATTATCAATGAGTTGATTGAAGCAAGTGATTTGGTCGGTTGTGAGGTTGGACAGCTTGGTGGAGAGATCATTGATCATTGTAAGAAGCAGATCTGTTGGGTTGCCAGTCACGGCATTGTCCTGATTTACCTCACAATATGGATCGACCGTGACAGTGTCGCCATCTTGATCGATAGAGTAAGTAAGCGATCGGCGCTTCCTTCCGGAATTGCCAGCGGCTTCCTCGATGGCTTCAATGACTCGTTGCAGGGCTTCATTGGTGTTTTGCAGAGCTGTGAGAGTGGCGTTGGAGGCAGCAATCTGGTTCTCGAGTCTTTCAATTTCTTGAAGTAACTGTGCTTTTTTCTGCTGCAGTTCTGATAAAGCATTTTGTGTAGTTTCTTGTTTTACAGATGTTGGAAGTACTGTGGTTGATTCTGTCGGTAGCACTGTACTGGTTGGTAGCACAGTTGACTGCAAGTCTGTTCGTGGAACTGTGGTGGTTGGTGGCACAGTTATCGACGGTTCTGTTGGTGGCACTGTGCTTGTTGGTGGCAGAGTTGTCGGCGTTTCTGATGTTGGTGGCACTGTGGTGGTTGGTGGCACAGTTGTCGGCGGTTCTGTTGTTGGTGGCACTGTGGTGGTTGGTGGCAAAGTTGTCGGTGGTTCTGAGGTTGGTGGCACTGTGGTGATTGGTGGCACAGTTGTCGGTGGATCTGTTATTGGTGGCACTGTGGTTGTTGGGGGCACAGTTGTCAGTGGTTCTGTTGTAGGTGGCACTGTGGTGGTTGGTGGCATATTTGACGGTGGTTCTGTTGTTGGTGGCACAGTTGACGGTGGTTCTGTTGTTGGTGGCACAGTGGTGGTTGGCACAGTTGTCGTTGGTTCTGTTGTTGGTGGCACTGTGGTGGTTGGTGGCACAGTTATTAGTGGCACTGTGCTGGATGGTAGCACAGTTGACAGTGGTTCTGTTGTTGGTGGCACTGTGGTGGTTGGTGGCATAGTTGTCGGTGGTTCTGTTGGTGGCACTGTGGTAGTTGGTGGCACAGTTGTCAGTGGTTCTGTTGTTGGTGGCACTGTGGTGGTCGGTGGTTCTGTTGTTGGTGGCACTGTGGTGGTCGATGGCACTCTTGGTGGTACTGTGGTGGTTGGTGGCACAGTTGGTGGTTCTGTTGTTGGTGGCACTGTGGTGGTTGGTGGCAGAGTTGTCGGTGGTTCTGTTGTTTGTGGCACTGTGGTGGTTAGTGGCACTCTTGTTGGTGGCACTGTGGTGGTTAGTGGCACAGTTGTCGGTGGTACTGTTGTTGGTGGCACAGTTGTCGGTGGTTCTGTTTTTGGTGGCACTGTGGTGGTTGGTGGCACAGTTGTCGGTGGTTCTTTTGTTGGTGGCACTGTGGTGGTTGGTGGCAAAGTTGTCGGTTGTTCTGTTGGTGGTACTGTGGTGGTTGGTGGCACAGTTGTCGGTGGTTCTGCTGTTGGTGGCACTGTGGTGGTTGGTGGCACAGTTGTCGGTGGTTTTGTTGTTCGTGGCAATGTGGTGGTTGGTGGCACAGTTGTTGGTGGTTCTGTTGTTGGTGGCACTGTGGTGGTTGGTGGCACAGTTGTCGGTGGTTCTGTTGTTGGTGGCACTGTGGTGGTTGGTGGCACTCTTGTTGGTGGCACTGTGGTGGTTGGTGACAAAGTTGTCGGTGGTTCTGAGGTTGGTGGCACTGTGGTGGTTGGTGGTACAGTTGTCGGTGGTTCTTTTGTTGGTGGCACTGTGGTGGTTGGTGGCACAGTTGTCGGTGGTTCTGTTGGTGGTGGTACTGTGGTGGTTGGTGGCACAGTTGTCGGTGGTTCTGTTGTTTTTGGCACTGTGGTGGTTGGTGGCACAGTTGTCGGTGGTTCTGTTGGTGGTGGTACTGTGGTGGTTGGTGGCACAGTTGTCGGTGGTTCTATTGTTTTTGGCACTGTGGTGGTTGGTGACAAAGTTGTCGGTGGTTCTGAGGTTGGTGGCACTGTGGTGGTTGGTGGTACAGTTGTCGGTGGTTCTTTTGTTGGTGGCACTGTGGTGGTTGGTGGCACAGTTGTCGGTGGTTCTGTTGGTGGTGGTACTGTGGTGGTTGGTGGCACAGTTGTCGGTGGTTCTGTTGTTTTTGGCACTGTGGTGGTTGGTGGCACAGTTGTCGGTGGTTCTGTTGGTGGTGGTACTGTGGTGGTTGGTGGCACAGTTGTCGGTGGTTCTGTTGTTTTTGGCACTGTGGTGGTTGGTGACAAAGTTGTCGGTGGTTCTGAGGTTGATGGCACTGTGGTGATTGGTGGCACAGTTGTCGGTGGATCTGTTATTGGTGGCACTGTGGTGGTTGGTGGCACAGTTGTCAGTGGTTCTGTTGTAGGTGGCACTGTGGTGGTTGGTGGCATAGTTGACGGTGGTTCTGTTGTTGGTGGCACAGTTGTCGGCGGTTCTGTTGTTGGTGGCACAGTTGTCAGTGGTTCTGTTGTTGGTGGCACTGTGGTGGTTGGTGGCACAGTTATTAGTGGCACTGTGCTGGTTGGTAGCACAGTTGACAGTGGTTCTGTTGTTGGTGGCACATTTGTCGGTGGTTCTGTTATTGGTAGCACTGTGGTGGTTGGTGGCACATTTGTCGGTGGTTCTGTTGGTGGCACTGTGGTAGTTGGTGGCACAGTTGTCGATGGTTCTGTTGTTGGTGGCACTGTGGTGGTTGGTGGCACAGTTGACGGTGGTTCTGTTATTGGTGGCACTGTGGTGGTTGGTGGCACATTTGTCGGTGGTTCTGTTGGTGGCACTGTGGTAGTTGGTGGCACAGTTGTCGGTGGTTCTGTTGTTGGTGGCACAGTTGTCGGTGGTTCTGTTGTTGGTGGCACTGTGGTGGTTGGTGGCACAGTTGACGGTGATTCTGTTGTTGGTGGCACTGTGGTTGTCGATGGCACTCTTGGAGGTACTGTGGTGGTTGGTGGCACAGTTGTCGGTGGTTCTGTTGTTGGTGGCACTGTGGTGGTTGGTGGCACAGTTGTCGGTGGTTCTGTGGTTGGTGGCACTGTGGTGGTTGGTGGCACTCTTGTTGGTGCCACTGTGGTGGTTGATGGAACAGTTGTCGGTGGTTCTGAGGTTGGTGGTACTGTGGTGGTTGGTGGCACAGTTGTCGGTGGTTCTGTTGTTGGTGGCACTGTGGTGGTTGGTGGCACAGTTGTCGGTGGTTCTGTTGTTGGCGGCACTGTGGTGGTTGGTGGCAGAGTGTTCGGTGGTTCTGTTGTTGGTGACACTGTGGTGGTTGGTGGCACAGTTGTCGGTGGTTCTGTTGTTGGTGGCACTGTGGTGGTTGGTGGCACAGTTGTCGGTGGTTCTGATGTTTGTGGTACAGTTGTCGGTGGTTCTGTTGTTGGTGACACAGTTGTCGGTGGTTCTGATGATGGTGGCACTGTGCTGGTTGATGGCACAGTTGTCGGTGGTTCTGTTGTTGGTGACACAGTTGTAGGTGGTTCTGTTGTTGGTGGCACTGTGGTGGTTGGTGGCACAGTTGTCGGTGGTTCTGATGTTGGTGGCACTGTGGTGGTTGGTGGCACAGTTGTCGGTAGTTCTGAGGTTGGTGGCACTGTGGTGGTTGGTGGCATAGTTGTCGGTGGTTCTGTTGTTGGTGGCACTCTGGTGGTTGGTGGCACAGTTGTCGGTGGTTCTGTTGTTGGTGGCACAGTTATAGGTGGTTCTGTTGTTGGTTGCACTGTGGTGGTTGGTGGCACAGTTGTCGGTAGTTCTGAGGTTGGTGGCACTGTGGTGGTTGGTGGCACAGTTGTCGGTGCTTCTGTTGTTGGTGGCACTGTGGTGGTTGGTGGCAAAGTTGTCGGTGGTTCTGTTGTTGGTGGCACTGTGGTGGTTGGTGGCACAGTTGTCGGTAGTTCTGAGGTTGGTGGCACTGTGGTGGTTGGTGGCATAGTTGTCGGTGGTTCTGTTGTTGGTGGCACTGTGGTGGTTGGTGGCAAAGTTGTAGGTGGTTCTGCTGTTTGTGGCACTGTGGTGGTTGGTGGCACAGTTGTAGGTGGTTCTGCTGTTTGTGGCACTGTGGTGGTTGGTGGCACAGTTGTAGGTGGTTCTGCTGTTTGTGGCACTGTGGTGGTTGGTGGCACAGTTGTAGGTGGTTCTGTTGTTGGTTGCACTGTGGTGGTTGGTGGCACAGTTGTAGGTGGTTCTGCTGTTTGTGGCACTGTGGTGGTTGGTGGCAAAGTTGTAGGTGGTTCTGCTGTTTGTGGCACTGTGGTGGTTGGTGGCACAGTTGTCGGTAGTTCTGAGGTTGGTGGCACTGTGGTGGTTGGTGGCATAGTTGTCGGTGGTTCTGTTGTTGGTGGCACTGTGGTGGTTGGTGGCACAGTTGTCGGTGGTTCTGTTGTTGGTGGCACTGTGGTGGTTGGTGGCAAAGTTGTCGGTGGTTCTGTTGGTGGTGGCACTGTGGTGGTTGGTGGCACAGTTGTTGGTGGTTCTGTTGTTGGTGGCACTGTGGTTGTTGGTGGCACAGTTGTTGGTGGTTCTGATGTTGGTGGCACATTTGTCGGCGGTTTTGTTGGTATCACTGTGGTGGTTGGTGGCACAGTTGTCAGTTGTTCTTTTGTTTGTGGTACAGTTGTCGGCGGTTCTGTTGTTGGTGGCAGTGAGGGGGTTGGTGGCACTGTGGTGGTTGGTGACACAGTTGTCAGTTGTTCTGTTGTTTGTGGTACAGTTGTCGGCGGTTCTCTTGTTGGTGGCACTGTGGTGGTTGGTGGCACTGTGGTGGTTGGTGGCACTGTGGTGGTTGGTGGCACTGTGGTGGTTGGTGGCACTGTGGTGGTTGGTAGCACAGTTTTCGGTGGTTCTGTTGCTGATGGCACTGTGGTGGTTGGTAGCACAGTTTTCGGTGGTTCTGTTGCTGATGGCACTGTGGTGGTTGGTGACACAGTTGTCGGTGGTTCTATTGTTGGTGGCACTGTGGTGGTTGGTGACACAGTTGTCGGTGGTTCTGTTGTTGTTGGTTCTGTGGTGGTTGGTGGCACAGTTGTCGGTGGTTCTGTTGTTGGTGGCACTGTGATGGTTGGTTTCACAGTTGTCGGCAGTTCTGTTGTTGGTGGCCCTGTGGTGGTTGGTGGCACAGTTGTCGGCGCTTCTGTTGTTGGTGGCACTGTGGTGGTTGGTGGCACAGTTGTTGGTAGTTCTGTTGTTGGTGGCACTGTGGTGGTTGGTGGCACAGCTGTCGGCGGTTCTGTTGTTGGTGGCACTGTGGTGGTTGTTGGCACAGTTGACGGTGATTCTGTTGTTGGTGGCACTGTGCTGGTTTGTGGCACAATTGATGGTGATTCTGTTGTTGGTGGAGCTGTGCTGGATGGTGGCACAGTTGTCGGTGGTTCTGATGTTGGTGGCACAGTTGTCGGCGGTTCTGTTGTTTTTGGCACAGTTGTCGGTGGTTCTGTTGTTGGTGGCACAGTTGTTGGTGGTTCTGTTGTTGGTGGCCCTGTGCTGGTTGGTGGCATAGTTGATGGTGGTTCTGTTGTTGGTGGCCCTGTGCTGGTTGGTGGCACAGTTGTCGGTGGTTCTGTTGTTGGTGGGACAGTTGTTGGTGGTTCTGTTGTTGGTGGCCCTCTGCTGGTTGGTGGCACAGTTGTCGGCGGTTCTGTTGTTGGTGGGACTGTGGAAGTAATTGGTATATAGTTGTTGGCGAGTTTATGGTGAAACATTGGTAATGATTGGTAATTTATGTAAATGTATGTATTTGCATGTATCTATAGTGATTTGTAATTCTTGATTATTGTAAAAAATACCGTTTACTTATTTATAGAGACATTAATACAACTACTATTTAACACATAAAAAAAAAAAAAAATGTAGACAATAGTACTGTCAGTTACAAAACAAGAAAGAACTGGTTAAATTGTATTTATGGCAAGTTTTACTGTTCTCATAAAGGAACGCAAACAGGTAAAAAAAACCAAAAAAAACAAGTATAGATGAGGGAGTTCAGAAAGGAGAGAGACAGAATAAAAAATGATGGGAGACAGCAATAAAGAGAACCACCAAACTTCTCTTTACTATAAAATTATAGTTATAATGATGAAAAGAAATAAATGATAATGAGTAAAATTGCCAATGAAACACCAAACAGTCACCTATCGCAACCAGGTCTTCCCCTCACCCCGTCTTGTTTTCCCTATTCCTTCCCGGATCGCCTTTTTATTTTGTAGTCGCGTCTTTTCATTTAGATGTAAGGAATACTGCGCCATCTACGGGCGATATGTAGTAACACATGGCAAACTATGAAAGCGAATTTTGCTCTGTATATATGTGCATGTACATGAACATGCATACATGTAAAATTTGCTTATGTTATGCTTAAAATACAATTTTCCTTACAGTAATTTCGCTCTTTAAAGGTCGTCAAATTAACTTGGATCCAAAACTTACGTGTATCATCTAATGAAAATACGCTGATACACGTCGACAAAACTGTGTGTACTGGTTTTCTACCTGTTGTTGCTGCTATTTGGCTCTCCACTTGGTCAAGCTCATCCGTTTTATTTTGTTTTTGTTCTTGCAAAATATTGACGAGCAGTTGAACTGATTGGACTTGGTCTCCCACGACACTGCTTGCTGCTTCTACCGCGGTCGTGATGTTATCTAATACAGTCGAATCGATAACGAAGGTTCCATTCTCTATGAGTGTGGCGAAATTATCAATGAGTTGATTGAAGCAAGTGATTTGGTCGGTTGTGAGGTTGGACAGCTTGGTGGAGAGATCATTGATCATTGTAAGAAGCAGATCTGTTGGGTTGCCAGTCACGGCATTGTCCTGATTTACCTCACAATATGGATCGACCGTGACAGTGTCGCCATCTTGATCGATAGAGTAAGTAAGCGATCGGCGCTTCCTTCCGGAATTGCCAGCGGCTTCCTCGATGGCTTCAATGACTCGTTGCAGGGCTTCATTGGTGTTTTGCAGAGCTGTGAGAGTGGCGTTGGAGGCAGCAATCTGGTTCTCGAGTCTTTCAATTTCTTGAAGTAACTGTGTTTTTTTCTGCTGCAGTTCTGATAAAGTATTTTGTGTAGTTTCTTGTTTTACAGAAGTTGGTAATATTATGGTTGATTCTGTTGTTGGTGGCAATGTGCTGGTTGGTAGCACAGAACTGGTTGGTGTCACAGTTATCGACGGTTCTGTTGGTGGCACTGTGCTGGTTGGTGATATAGTTGTCAGCAGTAATGTTGTTGGTGGCACTTTGGTGGTTGGCGGCACAGTTGTCGACGGCTCTCTCATTGGTGACACTGTGGTGGTTGGTGGCACAGTTGTCGGCGTTTCAGTTGGTGGCAAAGTTGTTGGTGGTTCTGTTGTTGATGACACTGTGCTTGTTGGTGGCACTGTTGTCAGCGGTTCTGTTATTGGTGGTACTGTGCTGGTTAGTGACACAGTTGTTGGTGGCACTGTGGTTGTTAGTGGCACAGTTGTCGGTGGTTCTGATGTTGATGGCAAAGATGTCGGCGGTTCTGTTGTTGGCACTGTGATGGTTGGGGGCACAGTTGTCGTTGGTTCTGATGGTGGCACTGTGCTGGTAGATGGGACAGTTGTCGGCGGTTCTGATGTTGGTGGCACTGTGCTGGTTGGTGGCACAGTTGTCGGCGGTTCTGTTGTTGGCACTGTGATGGTTGGTGGCACAGTTGTCGGTGGTTCTGATGTTGGTGGCACTGTGGTGGTTGGTGGGACAGTTGTCGGTGGTTCTGATGTTGGTGGCACTGTGGTGGTTGGTGGCACAGTTGTCGGTGGTTCTGATGTTGGTGGCACTGTGGTGGTTGGTGGCACAGTTGTCGGTGGTTCTGATGTTGGTAGCACTGTGGTAGTTGGTGGCACAGTTGTCGGTGGTTCTGTTGTTGGTGGCACAGTTGTCGGTGGTTCTGATGTTGGTGGCACTGTGGTGGTTGGTGGCACAGTTGTCGGTGGTTCTGTTGTTGGTGGCACAGTTGTCGGTGGTTCTGTTGTTGGTGGCACTATGGTGGTTGGTGGCACAGTTGTCGGTGGTTCTGTTGTTGGCGGCACAGTTGTCGGTGGTTCTGATGTTGGAGGCACTGTGGTGGTTGGTGGCATAGTTGTCGGTGGTTCTGATGTTGGAGGCACTGTGGTGGTTGGTGGCACAGTTGTCGGTGGTTCTGATGTTGGAGGCACTGTGGTGGTTGGTGGCATAGTTGTCGGTGGTTCTGATGTTAGTTGTACAGTTGTCGGCGGCTCTGTTGTTGGCACTGTGGTGGTTGGTGACACAGTTGTCGGTGGTTCTGTTGTTGGTAGCATTGTGGTGGTTGGTGGCACTGTTGTCGGTGGTTCTGTGCTGGTTGGTTGCACAGTTGTCGGTGGTTCTGTTGTTGGTGGCACTGTGCTGGTTGGTGGCACAGTTGTCGGCGGTTCTGTTGTTGGTGGCACTATGGTAGTTGGTGGCACAGTTGTCGGTGGTTTTGTTGTTGGTGGCACTGTGCTTGTTGGTAGCACAGTTGTCGGTGGTTCTGTTGTTGGTGGCACTGTGGTTGTTGATAGCACAGTTGTCGGTGGTTTTGTTGTTGGTGGCACTGTGCTTGTTGGTAGCACAGTTGTCGGTGGTTTTGTTGTTGGTGGCACTGTGCTTGTTGGTAGCACAGTTGTCGGTGGTTCTGTTGTTGGTGGCACTGTTGTCGGTGGTTCTGTTGTTGGTGGCACAGTTGGTTGCGGTTCTGTTGTTGGCATTGTGCTGGTTAGTGGCACAGTTGTCGGTGGTTCTGTTGTTGATGGCACTGTGCTGGTTGGTGGCATAGTTGTCGGTGGTTCTGATGTTGGTGGCACTGTGCTGGCTGGTGGCACAGTTGTCGGTGGTTCTGTGCTGGTTGGTAGCACAGTTGTCGGTGATTCTATTGTTGATGGCACTGTGGTGGTTGGTTGCACAGTTGTCGGCGGTTCTGTTGTTGGTGGCATTGTTGTCGGTGGTTCTGTTGTTTGTTTCACAGTTGTTTGTGGTTCTGTTGTTGGTGGCACTGTGGTGGTTGGTGGCACAGTTGTCGGTGGTTCTGTTGGTGGTGGGGCTGTGGTTGTTGGTGGCACAGTTGTCGGTGGATCTGTTGTTTGTTTCACAGTTGTTTGTGGTTCATTTGTTGGTGGCACTGGACTGGTTGGTGGCACAGTTGGCGGTGACTTTGTTGTTGATGGCACTGTGGTTGTTGGTGGCACAGTTGTCGGTGGATCTGTTGTTTGTTTCACAGTTGTTTGTGGTTCAGTTGTTGGTGGCACTGTGGTGGTTGGTGGCACAGTTGTCGGTGGTTCTGTTGTTGGTGGCACTGTGGTTGTTGGTAGCACAGTTGTCGGTGGTTCTGTTGTTGGTGGCATTGTTGTCGGTGGTTCTGTTGTTGGTGTAACTGTTGTCGGTGATTCTGTTGTTGGTGGCACAGTTGTTGGTGGTTCTGATGTTGGTGGCACTGTGGTAGTTGGTGGCACAGTTGTCGGTGGTTCTGTTGTTGGTGTCACTGTGGTGGTTGGTGGCACAGTTGTTGGTGGTTCTGTTGTTGGTGGCACTGTGGTGGTTGGTGGCACAGTTGTCGGTGGTTTTGTTGTTGGTGGCACTGTGGTGGTTGGTGGCACAGTTGTCGGTGGTTCTGTTGTTGGTGGCACTGTGGTAGTTGGTGGCACAGTTGTCGGTGGTTCTGATGTTGGTGGCACTGTGGTGGTTGGTGGCACAGTTGTCGGTGGTTCTGATGTTGGTGGCAAAGTTGTCGGCGGTTCTGTTGTTAGTGGCACTGTGGTGGTTGGTGGCACAGTTGTCGGTGATTCTGTTGTTGGTGGGACTGTGGTGGTTGGTGGCACAGTTGTCGGTGGTTCTGTTGTTTGTGGCACTGTGGTGGTTGGTGGCACAGTTGTCGGTGGTTCTGTTGTTGGTGGCACTGTGGTGGTTGGTGGCACAGTTGTCGGTGGTTCTGATGTTGGTGGCACTGTGGTGGTTGGTGGCACAGTTGTCGGTGGTTCTGTTGTTGGTGGCACTGTGGTGGTTGGTGGCACAGTTGTCGGTGGTTCTGTTGGTGGCACTGTGGTGGTTGGTGGCACAGTTGTCGGTGGTTCTGTTGTTGGTGGCACTGTGGTGGTTGGTGGCACAGTTGTCGGTGGTTCTGATGTTGGTGGCACAGTTGTCGGCGGTTCTGTTGTTGGTGGCACTGTGGTGGTTGGTGGCACAGTTGTCAGTGATTCTGTTGTTGGTGGGACTGTGGTGGTTGGTGGCACAGTTGTCGGTGGTTCTGTTGTTGGTGGCACTGTGGTGGTTGGTGGCACAGTTGTCGGTGGTTCTGTTGTTGGTGGCACTGTGGTAGTTGGTGGCACAGTTGTCAGTTGTTCTGTTGTTGGTGGCACTGTGGTGGTTGGTGGCACAGTTGTCGGTGGTTCTGATGTTGGTGGCAAAGTTGTCGGCGGTTCTGTTGTTGGTGGCACTGTGGTGGTTGGTGGCACAGTTGTCAGTGATTCTGTTGGTGGGACTGTGGTGGTGGCACAGTTGTCGGTGGTTCTGTTGTTGGTGGCACTGTGGTGGTTGGTGGCACAGTTGTCGGTGGTTCTGTTGTTGGTGGGACTGTGGTGGTTGGTGGCACAGTTGTCGGTGGTTCTGTTGTTGGTGGGACTGTGGTGGTTGGTGGCACAGTTGTCGGTGGTTCTGTTGTTGGTGGGACTGTGGTGGTTGGTGGCACAGTTGTCGGTGGTTCTGTTGTTGGTGGGACTGTGGTGGTTGGTGGCACAGTTGTCGGTGGTTCTGTTGTTGGTGGCACTGTGGTGGTTGGTGGCACAGTTGTCGGTGGTTCTGTTGTTGGTGGCACTGTGGTGGTTGGTGGCACAGTTGTCGGTGGTTCTGTTGTTGGTGGCACTGTGGTTGTTGGTGGCACAGTTGTCGGTGGTTCTGTTGTTGGTGGCACTGTGGTGGTTGGTGGCACAGTTGTCGGTGGTTCTGTTGTTGGTGGCACTGTGGTAGTTGGTGGCACAGTTGTCGTTGGTTCTGTTGTTGGTGGCACTGTGGTGGTTGGTGGCACAGTTGTCGGTGGTTCTGATGTTGGTGGCAAAGTTGTCGGCGGTTCTGTTGTTGGTGGGACTGTGGTGGTTGGTGGCACAGTTGTCGGTGGTTCTGTTGTTGGTGGCACTGTGGTGGTTGGTGGCACAGTTGTCGGTGGTTCTGTTGTTGGTGGCACTGTTGTGGTTGGTGGCACAGTTGTCGGTGGTTTCTGTTGTTGGTGGCACTGTGGTGGTTGGTGGCACAGTTGTCGGTGGTTCTGTTGTTGGTGGCACTGTGGTGGTTGGTGGCACAGTTGTCGGTGGTTCTGTTGTTGGTGGCACTGTGGTGGTTGGTGGCACAGTTGTCGGTGGTTCTGTTGTTGGTGGCACTGTGGTAGTTGGTGGCACAGTTGTCGTTGGTTCTGTTGTTGGTGGCACTGTGGTGGTTGGTGGCACAGTTGTCGGTGGTTCTGATGTTGGTGGCAAAGTTGTCGGCGGTTCTGTTGTTGGTGGGACTGTGGTGGTTGGTGGCACAGTTGTCGGTGGTTCTGTTGTTGGTGGCACTGTGGTGGTTGGTGGCACAGTTGTCGGTGGTTCTGTTGTTGGTGGCACTGTGGTGGTTGGTGGCACAGTTGTCGGTGGTTCTGTTGTTGGTGGCACTGTGGTGGTTGGTGGCACAGTTGTCGGTGGTTCTGTTGTTGGTGGCACTGTGGTGGTTGGTGGCACAGTTGTCGGTGGTTCTGTTGTTGGTGGCACTGTGGTGGTTGGTGTCACAGTTGTCGGTGGTTCTGTTGTTGGTGGCACTGTGGTGGTTGGTGGCACAGTTGTCGGTGGTTCTGTTGTTGGTGGCACTGTGGTGGTTGGTGGCATAGTTGTCGGTGGTTCTGTTGTTGGTGGCACTGTGGTAGTTGGTGGCACAGTTGTCGTTGGTTCTGTTGTTGGTGGCACTGTGGTGGTTGGTGGCACAGTTGTCGGTGGTTCTGATGTTGGTGGCAAAGTTGTCGGCGGTTCTGTTGTTGGTGGGACTGTGGTGGTTGGTGGCACAGTTGTCGGTGGTTCTGTTGTTGGTGGGATTGTGGTGGTTGGTGGCACAGTTGTCGGTGTTTCTGTTGTTGGTGGCACTGTGGTGGTTGGTGGCACAGTTGTCTGTGGTTCTGTTGTTGGTGGCACTGTGGTGGTTGGTGGCACAGTTGTCGGTGGTTCTGTTGTTGATGGCACTGTGGTGGTTGGTGGCACAGTTGTCGGTGGTTCTGTTGTTGGTGGCAGTGTGGTGGTTGGTGGCACAGTTGTCGGTGGTTCTGTTGTTGGTGGCACTGTGGTGGTTGGTGGCACAGTTGTCGGTGGTTCTGTTGTTGGTGGCACTGTGGTAGTTGGTGGCACAGTTGTCGTTGGTTCTGTTGTTGGTGGCACTGTGGTGGTTGGTGGCACAGTTGTCGGTGGTTCTGATGTTGGTGGCAAAGTTGTCGGCGGTTCTGTTGTTGGTGGCACTGTGGTGGTTGGTGGCACAGTTGTCGGTGATTCTGTTGTTGGTGGGACTGTGGTGGTTGGTTGCACAGTTGTCGGCGGTTCTGTTGTTGGTGGCATAGTTGTCGGCGGTTCTGTTGGTGGCACTGTGCTGGTTGGTTGTATAGTTGTCGGTGGTTCTGTTGTTGGTGGCACTGTGCTGGTTGGTGGCACAGTTGGTGGTTCTGATGTTGGTGGCACGGTAATGGTTGGTGGCACAGTTGTCGGCGGTTCTGTTGTTGGTGGCACAGTTGTCGGTGGTTCTGTTATTGGTGGCACTGTGCTGGTTGGTGGTACAGTTGTCGGTGATTCTGATGTTGGTGGCACAGTTGTCAGTGGTTCTGATGTTGGTGGCACTGTGGTGGTTGGTGGCACAGTTGTCGGTGATTCTGATGTTGGTGGCACAGTTGTTGGTGATTCTGATGTTGGTGGCACTGTGGTGGTTGGTGGCACTGTTGTCGGCGGTTCTGTTGTTGGTGGCACAGTTGTCGGTGGTTCTGATGTTGGTGGCACAGTTGTCGGTGGTTCTGATGTTGGTGGCACTGTGGTGGTTGGTGGCACAGTTGTCGGTGGTTCTGTTGTTGATGGCACTGTGGTGGTTGGTGGCACAGTTGTCGGTGGTTCTGTTGTTGGTGGCACTGTGGTGGTTGGTGGCACAGTTGTCGGTGGTTCTGATGTTGGTGGCACAGTTGTCGGCGGTTCTGTTGTTGGTGCCACTGTGCTTGTTGGTGGGACAGTTGTCGTTGGTTCTGTTGTTGGTGGCACTGTGGTGGTTGGTGGCACAGTTGTCGGTGGTTCTGATGTTGGTGGCAAAGTTGTCGGCGGTTCTGTTGTTGGTGGGATTGTGGTGGTTGGTGGCACAGTTGTCGATGGTTCTGTTGTTGGTGGGACTGTGGTGGTTGGTGGCACAGTTGTCGGTGGTTCTGTTATTGGTGGCACTGTGGTGGTTGGTGGCACAGTTGTCGGTGGTTCTGTTGTTGGTGGCACTGTGGTGGTTGGTGGCACAGTTGTCGGTGGTTCTGTTGTTGGTGGCACTGTGGTGGTTGGTGGCACAGTTGTCGGTGGTTCTGTTGTTGGTGGCACTGTGGGGGTTGGTGGCACTGTTGTCGGTGGTTCTGTTGTTGGTGGCACTGTGGTAGTTGGTGGCACAGTTGTCGTTGGTTCTGTTGTTGGTGGCACTGTGGTGGTTGGTGGCACAGTTGTCGGTGGTTCTGATGTTGGTGGCAAAGTTGTCGGCGGTTCTGTTGTTGGTGGCACTGTGGTGGTTGGTGGCACAGTTGTCGGTGATTCTGTTGTTGGTGGGACTGTGGTGGTTAGTGGCACAGTTGTCGGCGGTTCTGTTGTTGGTGGCACAGTTGTCGGCGGTTCTGTTGGTGGCACTGTGCTGGTTGGTTGTATAGTTGTCGGTGGTTCTGTTGTTGGTGGCACTGTGCTGGTTGGTGGCACAGTTGGTGGTTCTGATGTTGGTGGCACGGTAATGGTTGGTGGCACAGTTGTCGGCGGTTCTGTTGTTGGTGGTACAGTTGTCGGTGGTTCTGTTATTGGTGGCACTGTGGTGGTGGTGGTACAGTTGTCGGTGATTCTGATGTTGGTGGCACAGTTGTCAGTGGTTCTGATGTTGGGGGCACTGTGGTGGTTGGTGGCACAGTTGTCGGTGATTCTGATGTTGGTGGCACAGTTGTTGGTGATTCTGATGTTGGTGGCACTGTGGTGGTTGGTGGCACAGTTGTCGGCGGTTCTGTTGTTGGTGGCACAGTTGTCGGTGGTTCTGATGTTGGTGGCACAGTTGTCGGTGGTTCTGATGTTGGTGGCACTGTGGTGGTTAGTGGCACAGTTGTCGGCGGTTCTGTTGTTGGTGGCACTGTGGTGGTTGGTGGCACAGTTGTCGGTGGTTCTGTTGTTGGTGGCAATGTGGTGGTTGGTGGCACAGTTGTCGGTGGTTCTGTTGTTGGTGGCACTGTGGTAGTTGGTGGCACAGTTGTCGTATGTTTTTGGGCACTGTGGTGGTTGTTGGCACAGTGTCGGTGGTCTGTTGTTGTGGCACTGTGGTAGTTGTGGCACAGTGGTGTGGTTCTGTTGTGGTGGCACTGTGGTGGTTGGTGGCACAGTTGTCGGTGTTCTGATGTTGGTGGCAAAGTTGTCGGCGGTTCTGTGTTGGTGGCACTGTGGGGTGGTGGCACAGTTGTCGGTGATTCTGTTGTTGGTGGGACTGTGGTGGTTGGTTGCACAGTTGTCGGCGGTTCGTTGTTGGTGGCATAGTTGTCGGGGTTTGATGTTGGTGGCACGGTGCTGGTTGGTTGTATAGTTGTCGGTGGTTCTGTTGTTGGTGGCACTTGTGGTGGTTGGTGGCCACAGTTGGTGGTTCTGATGTTGGTGGCACGGTAATGGTTGGTGGCACAGTTGTCGGCGGTTATGTTGTTGGTGGTACAGTTGTCGGTGGTTCGTGTTGGTGGCACTGTGTGGTGGTGGCACAGTTGTCGGTGATTCTGATGTGGTGGCACAGTTGTCGTTGGTTCTGTTGTGGTGGCACTGTGGTGGTTGGTGGCACAGTTGTCGGTGGTTCTGATGTTGGTGGCAAAGTTGTCGGCGGTTCTGTTGTTGGTGGCACTGTGGTGGTTGGTGGCACAGTTGTCGGTGATTCTGTTGTTGGTGGGACTGTGGTGGTTGGTGGCACAGTTGTCGGTGGTTCTGATGTTGGTGGCAAAGTTGTCGGCGGTTCTGTTGTTGGTGGGACTGTGGTGGTTGGTGGCACAGTTGTCGGTGGTTCTGTTGTTGGTGGCAATGTAATGGTTGGTGGCACAGTTGTCGGTGGTTCTGTTGTTGGTGGCACTGTGGTGGTTGGTGGCACAGTTGTCGGTTGTTCTGTTGTTGGTGGCACAGTTGTCGGCGTTCTGTTGTTGGTGGCAATGTAATGGTTGGTGGCACAGTTGTCGGTGGTTCTGTTGTTGGTGGCACTGTGGTGGTTGGTGGCACAGTTGTCGGTTGTTCTGTTGTTGGTGGCACAGTTGTCGGTGGTTCTGTTGTTGGTGGCACTGTGGTGGTTGGTGGCACAGTTGTCGGTGGTTCTGTTTTTGGTGGCACTGTGGTGGTTGGTGGCACAGTTGTCGGTGGTTCTGTTGTTGGTGGCATTGTGGTAGTTGGTGGCACAGTTGTCGGTGGTTCTGTTGTTGGTGGCACTGTGGTGGTTGGTGGCACAGTTGTCGGTGGTTCTGATGTTGGTGACAAAGTTGTCGGCGGTTCTGTTGTTGGTGGCACTGTGATGGTTGGTGGCACAGTTGTCGGTGATTCTGTTGTTGGTGGGACTGTGGTGGTTGGTGGCACAGTTGTCGGCGGTTCTGTTGTTGGTGGCACAGTTGTCGCCGGTTCTGTTGGTGGCACTGTGCTGGTTGGTTGTATAGTTGTCGGTGGTTCTGTTGTTGGTGGCACTGTGCTGGTTGGTGGCACAGTTGGTGGCTCTGATGTTGGTGGCACGGTAATGGTTGGTGGCACAGTTGTCGGCGGTTCTGTTGTTGGTGGTACAGTCGTCGGTGGTTCTGTTATTGGTGGCACTGTGGTGGTTGGTGGTACAGTTGTCGGTGGTTCTGATGTTAGTGGCACTGTGGTGGTTGGTGGCACAGTTGTTGGTGGTTCTGATGTTGGTGGCCCTGTGCTGGTTGGTGGCACAGTTGTCGGCGGTTCTGTTGTTGGTGGCACAGTTGTCGGTGGTTCTGATGTTGGTGGCACAGTTGTCGGTGGTTCTGATGTTGGTGGCACTGTGGTGGTTGGTGGCACAGTTGTCGGCGGTTCTGTTGTTGGTGGCACTGTGGAAGTAATTGGTATACAGTTGTTGGTGATTTTATGGTGAAATATTGGTTATGATTGGTAATTTATGTAAATGTTTGTATTTGTATGTATGTACAGTGATTTACAATGAATTCTTGATTATTGTAAGAAATACCGTTTACTTACTTACAGAGACATTAATGCATCTAACATTAAACACATGGAAAAAAATGTTACGTGACATGTAAACAATGGTTTTATCAATTACAAAACAAGAAAGAACTGGTTAAATTGTATACATACCATTTTTTTTTTTACTATTCTCACAAAGGAACGCACATAGGTAAAAAAAAGGTATAGATGAGGGAGTTCAGAAAGGAGAAAGACAGAATAAAAAATGATGGGAGACAGCAATAAAGAGAACCATCACACTTCTCTTTTTATTATAAAATTATAGTTATAATAATGATGATGATAAGGAATAAATGATAATGAGTAAAATTGCCAATGAAACACCAAACAGTCACCTATCGCAACCAGGTCTTCCCCTCACCCCGTCCTGTTATCCCTATTCCTTCCCGGATCGCCTTTTTATTTTGTCGTCGCGTCTTTTCATTTAGATGCAAGGAATACTGCGCCATCTACGGGCGACATGTAGTAACACATGGCAAACTATGAAAGCGAATTTTGCTCTGTATATATGTGCATGTACATGAACATGCATACATGTAAAATTTGCTTATGTTATGCTTAAAATACAATTTTCCTTACAGCAATTTCGCTCTTTAAAGGTACAAACGTGTACCGTCTATTGAAAATACGCTGGTACGCGTCTATAAAACTGTGTACTGGTTTTCTACCTGTTGTTGCTGCTATTTGGCTCTCAACTTGGTCAAGCTCATCCGTTTTATTTTGTTTTTGTTCTTGCAAAATACTGACGAGCAGTTGAACTGATTGGACTTGGTCTCCCACGACACTGCTTGCTGCTTCTACCGCGGTCGTGATGTTATCTAATACAGTCGAATCGATAACGAAGGTTCCATTCTCTATGAGTGTGGCGAAATTATCAATGAGTTGATTGAAGCAAGTGATTTGGTCGGTTGTGAGGTTGGACAGCTTGGTGGAGAGATCATTGATCATTGTAAGAAGCAGATCTGTTGGGTTGCCAGTCACGGCATTGTCCTGATTTACCTCACAATATGGATCGACCGTGACAGTGTCGCCATCTTGATCGATAGAGTAAGTAAGCGATCGGCGCTTCCTTCCGGAATTGCCAGTGGCTTCCTCGATGGCTTCAATGACTCGTTGCAGGGCTTCATTGGTGTTCTGCAGAGCTGTGAGAGTGGCGTTGGAGGCAGCAATCTGGTTCTCGAGTCTTTCAATTTCTTGAAGTAACTGTGTTTTTTTCTGCTGCAGTTCTGATAAAGTATTTTGTGTAGTTTCTTGTTTTACAGAAGTTAGTAATATTATGGTTGATTCTGTTGTTGGTGGCAATGTGCTGGTTGGTAGCACAGAACTGGTTGGTGTCAAAGTTATCGACGGTTCTGTTGGTGGCACTGTGCTGGTTGGTGATATAGTTGTCAGCAGCAATGTTGTTGGTGGCACTTTGGTGGTTGGCGGCACAGTTGTCGACGGCTCTCTCATTGGTGACACTGTGGTGGTTGGTGGCACAGTTGTCGGCGTTTCAGTTGGTGGCAAAGTTGTTGGTGGTTCTGTTGTTGATGACACTGTGCTTGTTGGTGGCACTGTTGTCAGCGGTTCTGTTATTGGTGGTACTGTGCTGGTTAGTGACACAGTTGTTGGTGGCACTGTGGTTGTTAGTGGCACAGTTGTCGGTGGTTCTGATGTTGGTGGCACAGTTGTCGGCGGTTCTGTTGTTGGTGGCACTGTGGTAGTTGGTGGTACAGTTGTCGGTGGTTCTGATGTTGGTAGCACTGTGGTGGTTGGTGGCACAGTTGTCGGTGGTTCTGTTGTTGGTGGCACTGTGCTGGTTGGTGGCACAGTTGTCGGTGGTTCTGATGTTGGTAGCACTGTGGTGGTTGGTGGCACAGTTGTCGGTGGTTCTGTTGTTGGTGGCACAGTTGTCGGTGGTTCTGTTGTTGGTGGCACTGTGGTGGTTGGTGGCACAGTTGTCGGTGGTTCTGTTGTTGGTGGCACAGTTCTCGGTGGTTCTGATGTTGGTAGCACTGTGGTAGTTGGTGGCACAGTTATCGGTGGTTCTGTTGTTGGTGGCACAGTTGTCGGTGGTTCTGATGTTGGTGGCACTGTGGTGGTTGGTGGCACAGTTGTCGGTGGTTCTGTTGTTGGTGGCACAGTTGTCGGTGTTTCTGTTGGTGGTGGCACTGTGGTGGTTGGTGGCACAGTTGTCGGTGGTTCTGTTGTTGGCGGTACAGTTGTCGGTGGTTCTGATGTTGGAGGCACTGTGGTGGTTGGTGGCATAGTTGTCGGTGGTTCTGATGTTGGAGGCACTGTGGTGGTTGGTGGCACAGTTGTCGGTGGTTCTGATGTTGGAGGCACTGTGGTGGTTGGTGGCATAGTTGTCGGTGGTTCTGATGTTAGTTGTACAGTTGTCGGCGGCTCTATTGTTGGCACTGTGCTGGTTGGTGACACAGTTGTCGGTGGTTCTGTTGTTGGTAGCATTGTGGTGGTTGGTGGCACTGTTGTCGGTGGTTCTGTGCTGGTTGATTGCACAGTTGTCGGTGGTTCTGTTGTTGGTGGCACTGTGCTGGTTGGTGGCACAGTTGTCGGCGGTTCTGTTGTTGGTGGCACTGTGGTAGTTGGTAGCACAGTTGTCGGTGGTTTTGTTGTTGGTGGCACTGTGCTTGTTGGTAGCACAGTTGTCGGTGGTTCTGTTGTTGGTGGCACTGTGGTTGTTGATAGCACAGTTGTCGGTGGTTTTGTTGTTGGTGGCACTGTGCTTGTTGGTAGCACAGTTGTCGGTGGTTTTGTTGTTGGTGGCACTGTGCTGGTTGGTGGCATAGTTGTCGGTGGTTCTGATGTTGGTGGCACTGTGCTGGCTGGTGGCACAGTTGTCGGTGGTTCTGTTGTTGATGGCACTGTGCTGGTTGGTGGCATAGTTGTCGGTGGTTCTGATGTTGGTGGCACTGTGCTGGCTGGTGGCACAGTTGTCGGTGGTTCTGTGGTGGTTGGTGGCACAGTTGTCGGTGATTCTATTGTTGATGGCACTGTGGTGGTTGGTTGCACAGTTGTCGACGGTTCTGTTGTTGGTGGCATTGTTGTCGGTGGTTCTGTTGTTTGTTTCACAGTTGTTTGTGGTTCTGTTGTTGGTGGCACTGTGGTGGTTGGTGGCACAGTTGTCGGTGGTTCTGTTGGTGGCACTGTGGTTGTTGGTAGCACCGTTTTAGGTGGTTCTGTTGTCGGTGGGACTGTGGTGGTTGGTGGCATAGTTGTCGGTGGTTCTGATGTTAGTTGTGCAGTTGGTGACGGTTCTGTTGTTGGTGGCACTGTGGTGGTTGTTGGCACAGTTGTCGGTGGTTCTGTTGTTGGTGGCACTGTGGTGGTTGGTTGCACATTTGTCGGCGGTTCTGTTGTTGGTGGCACTGTGGTTGTTGGTGGCACAGTTGTCGGTGGTTCTGTTGTTTGTTTCACAGTTGTTTGTGGTTCTGTTGTTGGTGGCACTGTACTGGTAGTTGGCACAGTTGTCGGTGGTTCTGTTGTTGGTGGGGCTGTGGTTGTTGGTGGCACAGTTGTCAGTGGATCTGTTGTTTGTTTCACAGTTGTTTGTGGTTCAGTTGTTGGTGGCACTGTACTGGTTGGTGGCACAGTTGTCGGTGGTTCTGTTGTTGATGGCACTGTGGTTGATGGTGGCACAGTTGTCGGTGGATCTGTTGTTTGTTTCACAGTTGTTTGTGGTTCAGTTGTTGGTGGCACTGTACTGGTTGGTGGCACAGTTGTCGGTGGTTCTGTTGTTGGTGGCACTGTGGTTGTTGGTAGCACAGTTGTCGGTGGTTCTGTTGTTGGTGGCATTGTTGTCGGTGGTTCTGTTGTTGGTGTAACTGTTGTCGGTGATTCTGTTGTTGGTGGCACAGTTGTTGGTGGTTCTGATGTTGGTGGCACTGTGGTAGTTGGTGGCACAGTTGTCGCTGGTTCTGTTGTTGGTGGCACAGTTGTTGGTGGTTCTGTTGTTGGTGGCACTGTGGTGGTTGGTGGCACAGTTGTCGGTGGTTCTGTTGTTGGTGGCACTGTGGTGGTTGGTGACACAGTTGTCGGTGGTTCTGTTGTTGGTGGCACTGTGGTAGTTGGTGGCACAGTTGTCGGTGGTTCTGTTGTTGGTGGCACTGTGGTGGTTGGTGGCACAGTTGTCGGTGGTTCTGATGTTGGTGGCAAAGTTGTCGGCGGTTCTGTTGTTGGTGGCACTGTGGTGGTTGGTGGCACAGTTGTCGGTGATTCTGTTGTTGGTGGGACTGTGGTGGTTGGTGGCACAGTTGTCGGTGGTTCTGTTGTTGGTGGCACTGTGGTGGTTGGTGGCACAGTTGTCGGTGGTTCTGTTGTTGGTGGCACTGTGGTGGTTGGTGGCACAGTTGTCGGCGGTTCTGTTGTTGGTGGCACTGTGGTGGTTGGTGGCACAGTTGTCGGTGGTTCTGTTGTTGGTGGCACTGTGGTGGTTGGTGACACAGTTGTCGGTGGTTCTGTTGTTGGTGGCACTGTGGTAGTTGGTGGCACAGTTGTCGGTGGTTCTGTTGTTGGTGGCACTGTGGTGGTTGGTGGCACAGTTGTCGGTGTTTCTGATGTTGGTGGCAAAGTTGTCGGCGGTTCTGTTGTTGGTGGCACTGTGGTGGTTGGTGGCACAGTTGTCGGTGATTCTGTTGTTGGTGGGACTGTGGTGGTTGGTGGCACAGTTGTCGGTGGTTCTGTTGTTTTTGGCACTGTGCTGGTTGGTGGCACAGTTGTCGGTGGTTCTGTTGTTGGTGGCACTGTGGTGGTTGGTGGCACAGTTGTCGGCGGTTCTGTTGTTGGTGGCACTGTGGTGGTTGGTGGCACAGTTGTCGGTGGTTCTGTTGTTGGTGGCACTGTGGTGGTTGGTGGCACAGTTGTCGGTGGTTCTGTTGTTGGTGGCACTGTGGTAGTTGGTGGCACAGTTGTCGGTGGTTCTGTTGTTGGTGGCACTGTGGTGGTTGGTGGCACAGTTGTCGGTGGTTCTGATGTTGGTGGCACAGTTGTCAGCGGTTCTGTTGTTGGTGGCACTGTGGTGGTTGGTGGCACAGTTGTCAGTGATTCTGTTGTTGGTGGGACTGTGGTGGTTGGTGGCACAGTTGTCGGTGGTTCTGTTGTTGGTGGCACTGTGGTGGTTGGTGGCACAGTTGTCGGTGGTTCTGTTGTTGGTGGGACTGTGGTGGTTGGTGGCACAGTTGTCGGTGGTTCTGTTGTTGGTGGGACTGTGGTCGTTGGTGGCTTAGTTGTCGGTGGTTCTGTTGTTGGTGGGACTGTGGTGGTTGGTGGCACAGTTGTCGGTGGTTCTGTTGTTTTTGGCACTGTGGTGGTTGGTGGCACAGTTGTCGGTGGTTCTGTTGTTGGTGGCACTGTGGTGGTTGGTGGCACAGTTGTCGGTGGTTCTGTTGTTGGTGGCACTGTGGTTGTTGGTGGCACAGTTGTCGGTGGTTCTGTTGTTGGTGGCACTGTGGTGGTTGGTGGCACAGTTGTCGGTGGTTCTGTTGTTGGTGGCACTGTGGTAGTTGGTGGCACAGTTGTCGTTGGTTCTGTTGTTGGTGGCACTGTGGTGGTTGGTGGCACAGTTGTCGGTGGTTCTGATGTTGGTGGCAAAGTTGTCGGCGGTTCTGTTGTTGGTGGGACTGTGGTGGTTAGTGGCACAGTTGTCGGTGGTTCTGTTGTTGGTGGCACTGTGGTGGTTGGTGGCACAGTTGTCGGTGGTTCTGTTGTTGGTGGCACTGTGGTGGTTGGTGGCACAGTTGTCGGTGGTTCTGTTGTTGATGGCACTGTGGTGGTTGGTGGCACAGTTGTAGGTGGTTCTGTTGTTGGTGGCACTGTGGTGGTTGGTGGCACAGTTGTCGGTGGTTCTGTTGTTGGTGGCACTGTGGTAGTTGGTGGCACAGTTGTCGTTGGTTCTGTTGGTGGTGGCACTGTGGTGGTTGGTGGCACAGTTGTCGGTGGTTCTGATGTTGGTGGCAAAGTTGTCGGCGGTTCTGTTGTTGGTGGGACTGTGGTGGTTGGTGGCACAGTTGTCGGTGGTTCTGTTGTTGGTGGGACTGTGGTGGTTGGTGGCACAGTTGTCGGTGGTTCTGTTGTTGGTGGCACTGTGGTGGTTGGTGGCACAGTTGTCGGTGGTTCTGTTGTTGGTGGCACTGTGGTGGTTGGTGGCACAGTTGTCGATGGTTCTGTTGTTGGTGGCACTGTGGTGGTTGGTGGCACAGTTGTCGGTGGTTCTGTTATTGGTGGCACTATGGTGGTTGGTGGCACAGTTGTCGGTGGTTCTGTAGTTGGTGGCACTGTGGTGGTTGGTGGCACAGTTGTCGGTGGTTCTGTTGTTGGTGGCACTGTGGTAGTTGGTTGCACAGTTGTCGTTGGTTCTGTTGTTGGTGGCACTGTGGTGGTTGGTGGCACAGTTGTCGGTGGTTCTGATGTTGGTGGCAAAGTTGTCGGCGGTTCTGTTGTTGGTGGCACTGTGGTGGTTGGTGGCACAGTTGTCGGTGATTCTGTTGTTGGTGGGACTGGGGTGGTTGGTGGCACAGTTGTCGGCGGTTCTGTTGTTGGTGGCACAGTTGTCGGCGGTTCTGTTGGTGGCACTGTGCTGGTTGGTTGTATAGTTGTCGGTGGCTCTGTTGTTGGTGGCACTGTGCTGGTTGGTGGCACAGTTGGTGGTTCTGATGTTGGTGGCACGGTAATGGTTGGTGGCACAGTTGTCGGCGGTTCTGTTGTTGGTGGTACAGTTGTCGGTGGTTCTGTTATTGGTGGCACTGTGGTGGTTGGTGGTACAGTTGTCGGTGATTCTGATGTTGGTGGCACAGTTGTCGGTTGTTCTGATGTTGATGGCACTGTGGTGGTTGGTGGCACAGTTGTCGGTGATTCTGATGTTGGTGGCACAGTTGTTGGTGATTCTGATGTTGGTGGCACTGTGCTGGTTGGTGGCACAGTTGTCGGCGGTTTTGTTGTTGATGGCACAGTTGTCGGCGGTTCTGTTGGTGGTGGCACAGTTGTCGGTGGTTCTGATGTTGGTGGCACTGTGGTGGTTGGTGGCACAGTTGTCGGCGGTTCTGTTGTTGGTGGCACTGTGGTGGTTGGTGGCACAGTTGTCGGTGGTTCTGTTGTTGGTGGCACTGTGGTGGTTGGTGGCACAGTTGTCGGTGGTTCTGTTGTTGGTGGCACTGTGGTGGTTGGTGGCACAGTTGTCGGTGGTTCTGTTGTTGGTGGCACTGTGGTAGTTGGTGGCACAGTTGTCGTTGGTTCTGTTGTTGGTGGCACTGTGGTGGTTGGTGGCACAGTTGTCGGTGGTTCTGATGTTGGTGGCAAAGTTGTCGGCGGTTCTGTTGTTGGTGGGACTGTGGTGGTTGGTGGCACAGTTGTCGGTGGTTCTGTTGTTGGTGGGACTGTGGTGGTTGGTGGCACAGTTGTCGGTGGTTCTGTTGTTGGTGGCAATGTGGTGGTTGGTGGCACAGTTGTCGGTGGTTCTGTTGTTGGTGGCACTGTGGTGGTTGGAGGCACAGTTGTCGGCGGTTCTGTTGTTGGTGGGACTGTGGTGGTTGGTGGCACAGTTGTCGGTGGTTCTGTTGTTGGTGGGACTGTGGTGGTTGGTGGCACAGTTGTCGGTGGTTCTGTTGTTGGTGGCAATGTGGTGGTTGGTGGCACAGTTGTCGGTGGTTCTGTTGTTGGTGGCACTGTGGTGGTTGGTGGCACAGTTGTCGTTGGTTCTGTTGTTGGTGGCACTGTGGTGGTTGGTGGCACAGTTGTCGGTGGTTCTGATGTTGGTGGCAAAGTTGTCGGCGGTTCTGTTGTTGGTGGCACTGTGGTGGTTGGTGGCACAGTTGTCGGTGATTCTGTTGTTGGTGGGACTGTGGTGGTTGGTGGCACAGTTGTCGGCGGTTCTGTTGTTGGTGGCACAGTTGTCGGCGGTTCTGTTGGTGGCACTGTGCTGGTTGGTTGTATAGTTGTCGGTGGTTCTGTTGTTGGTGGCACTGTGCTGGTTGGTGGCACAGTTGGTGGTTCTGATGTTGGTGGCACGGTAATGGTTGGTGGCACAGTTGTCGGCGGTTCTGTTGTTGGTGGTACAGTTGTCGGTGGTTCTGTTATTGGTGGCACTGTAGTGGTTGGTGGTACAGTTGTCGGTGATTCTGATGTTGGTGGCACAGTTGTCGGTGGTTCTGATGTTAGTGGCACTGTGGTGGTTGGTGGCACAGTTGTCGGTGATTCTGATGTTGGTGGCACAGTTGTTGGTGGTTCTGATGTTGGTGGCACTGTGGTGGTTGGTGGCACAGTTGTCGGCGGTTCTGTTGTTGGTGGCACAGTTGTCGGTGGTTCTGATGTTGGTGGCACAGTTGTCGGTGGTTCTGATGTTGGTGGCACTGTGGTGGTTGGTGGCACAGTTGTCGGCGGTTCTGTTGTTGGTGGCACTGTGGAAGTAATTGGTATACAGTTGTTGGTGATTTTATGGTGATACAATGGTTATGATTGGTAATTTATGTAAATGTTTGTATTTGTATGTATGTACAGTGATTTACAATGAATTCTTGATTATTGTAAGAAATACCGTTTACTTACTTACAGAGACATTAATGCATCTAACATTAAACACATGGAAAAAAATGTTACGTGACATATAAACAATGGTTTTGTCAATTACAAAACAAGAAAGAACTGGTTAAATTGTATACATACCATTTTTTTTACTATTCTCACAAAGGAACGCACATAGGTAAAAAAAAGGTATAGATGAGGGAGTTCAGAAAGGAGAAAGACAGAATAAAAAATGATGGGAGACAGCAATAAAGAGAACCATCACACTTCTCTTTTTATTATAAAATTATAGTTATAATAATGATGATGATAAGGAATAAATGATAATGAGTAAAATTGCCAATGAAACACCAAACAGTCACCTATCGCAACCAGGTCTTCCCCTCACCCCGTCCTGTTATCCCTATTCCTTCCCGGATCGCCTTTTTATTTTGTCGTCGCGTCTTTTCATTTAGATGCAAGGAATACTGCGCCATCTACGGGCGACATGTAGTAACACATGGCAAACTATGAAAGCGAATTTTGCTCTGTATATATGTGCATGTACATGAACATGCATACATGTAAAATTTGCTTATGTTATGCTTAAAATACAATTTTCCTTACAGCAATTTCGCTCTTTAAAGGTACAAACGTGTACCGTCTATTGAAAATACGCTGGTACGCGTCTATAAAACTGTGTACTGGTTTTCTACCTGTTGTTGCTGCTATTTGGCTCTCAACTTGGTCAAGCTCATCCGTTTTATTTTGTTTTTGTTCTTGCAAAATACTGACGAGCAGTTGAACTGATTGGACTTGGTCTCCCACGACACTGCTTGCTGCTTCTACCGCGGTCGTGATGTTATCTAATACAGTCGAATCGATAACGAAGGTTCCATTCTCTATGAGTGTGGCGAAATTATCAATGAGTTGATTGAAGCAAGTGATTTGGTCGGTTGTGAGGTTGGACAGCTTGGTGGAGAGATCATTGATCATTGTAAGAAGCAGATCTGTTGGGTTGCCAGTCACGGCATTGTCCTGATTTACCTCACAATATGGATCGACCGTGACAGTGTCGCCATCTTGATCGATAGAGTAAGTAAGCGATCGGCGCTTCCTTCCGGAATTGCCAGTGGCTTCCTCGATGGCTTCAATGACTCGTTGCAGGGCTTCATTGGTGTTCTGCAGAGCTGTGAGAGTGGCGTTGGAGGCAGCAATCTGGTTCTCGAGTCTTTCAATTTCTTGAAGTAACTGTGTTTTTTTCTGCTGCAGTTCTGATAAAGTATTTTGTGTAGTTTCTTGTTTTACAGAAGTTAGTAATATTATGGTTGATTCTGTTGTTGGTGGCAATGTGCTGGTTGGTAGCACAGAACTGGTTGGTGTCAAAGTTATCGACGGTTCTGTTGGTGGCACTGTGCTGGTTGGTGATATAGTTGTCAGCAGCAATGTTGTTGGTGGCACTTTGGTGGTTGGCGGCACAGTTGTCGACGGCTCTCTCATTGGTGACACTGTGGTGGTTGGTGGCACAGTTGTCGGCGTTTCAGTTGGTGGCAAAGTTGTTGGTGGTTCTGTTGTTGATGACACTGTGCTTGTTGGTGGCACTGTTGTCAGCGGTTCTGTTATTGGTGGTACTGTGCTGGTTAGTGACACAGTTGTTGGTGGCACTGTGGTTGTTGGTGGCATAGTTATCAGTGATTCTGATGTTGATGGCACGGTGCTAGTTGGTGGCACAGTTGTCGGCGGTTCTGTTGTTGGCACTGTGATGGTTGGGGGCACAGTTGTCGGTGGTTCTGATGTTGGTTGCACTGTGTTAGTAGGTGGGACAGTTGTCGGCGGTTCTGATGTTGGTGGCACTGTGCTGGTTGGTGGCACTGTTGTCGGTGGTTCTGTTGTTAGCACTGTGATGGTTGGTGGCACAGTTGTCGGTGGTTCTGTTGTTGGTGGCACAGTTGTCGGTGGTTCTGATGTTGGTGGCACTGTGGTGGTTGGTGGCACAGTTGTCGGTGGTTTGGTGGCCTGTGGTGTTGGTGGCACAGTTGTCGGTGGTTCTGATGTTGGTAGCACTGTGGTAGTTGGTGGCACAGTTATCGGTGGTTCTGTTGTTGGTGGCACAGTTGTCGGTGGTTCTGATGTTGGTGGCACTGTGGTGGTTGGTGGCACAGTTGTCGGTGGTTCTGTTGTTGGTGGCACAGTTGTCGGTGTTTCTGTTGGTGGTGGCACTATGGTGGTTGGTGGCACAGTTGTCGGTGGTTCTGTTGTTGGCGGCTACAGTTGTCGGTGGTTCTGATGTTGGAGGCACTGTGGTGGTTGGTGGCATAGTTGTCGGTGGTTCTGATGTTGGAGGCACTGTGGTGGTTGGTGGCACAGTTGTCGGTGGTTCTGATGTTGGAGGCACTGTGGTGGTTGGTGGCATAGTTGTCGGTGGTTCTGATGTTAGTTGTACAGTTGTCGGCGGCTCTATTGTTGGCACTGTGCTGGTTGGTGACACAGTTGTCGGTGGTTCTGTTGTTGGTAGCATTGTGGTGGTTGGTGGCACTGTTGTCGGTGGTTCTGTGCTGGTTGATTGCACAGTTGTCGGTGGTTCTGTTGTTGGTGGCACTGTGCTGGTTGGTGGCACAGTTGTCGGCGGTTCTGTTGTTGGTGGCACTGTGGTAGTTGGTAGCACAGTTGTCGGTGGTTTTGTTGTTGGTGGCACTGTGCTTGTTGGTAGCACAGTTGTCGGTGGTTCTGTTGTTGGTGGCACTGTGGTTGTTGATAGCACAGTTGTCGGTGGTTTTGTTGTTGGTGGCACTGTGCTTGTTGGTAGCACAGTTGTCGGTGGTTTGTTGTTGGTGGCACTGTGCTGGTTGGTGGCATAGTTGTCGGTGGTTCTGATGTTGGTGGCACTGTGCTGGCTGGTGGCACAGTTGTCGGTGGTTCTGTTGTTGATGGCACTGTGCTGGTTGGTGGCATAGTTGTCGGTGGTTCTGATGTTGGTGGCACTGTGCTGGCTGGTGGCACAGTTGTCGGTGGTTCTGTGGTGGTTGGTGGCACAGTTGTCGGTGATTCTATTGTTGATGGCACTGTGGTGGTTGGTTGCACAGTTGTCGACGGTTCTGTTGTTGGTGGCATTGTTGTCGGTGGTTCTGTTGTTTGTTTCACAGTTGTTTGTGGTTCTGTTGTTGGTGGCACTGTGGTGGTTGGTGGCACAGTTGTCGGTGGTTCTGTTGGTGGCACTGTGGTTGTTGGTAGCACCGTTTTAGGTGGTTCTGTTGTCGGTGGGACTGTGGTGGTTGGTGGCATAGTTGTCGGTGGTTCTGATGTTAGTTGTGCAGTTGGTGACGGTTCTGTTGTTGGTGGCACTGTGGTGGTTGTTGGCACAGTTGTCGGTGGTTCTGTTGTTGGTGGCACTGTGGTGGTTGGTTGCACATTTGTCGGCGGTTCTGTTGTTGGTGGCACTGTGGTTGTTGGTGGCACAGTTGTCGGTGGTTCTGTTGTTTGTTTCACAGTTGTTTGTGGTTCTGTTGTTGGTGGCACTGTGGTGGTTGGTGGCACAGTTGTCGGTGGTTCTGTTGGTGGTGGGGCTGTGGTTGTTGGTGGCACAGTTGTCGGTGGATCTGTTGTTTGTTTCACAGTTGTTTGTGGTTCATTTGTTGGTGGCACTGTACTGGTTGGTGGCACAGTTGTCGGTGGTTCTGTTGTTGATGGCACTGTGGTTGTTGGTGGCACAGTTGTCGGTGGATCTGTTGTTTGTTTCACAGTTGTTTGTGGTTCAGTTGTTGGTGGCACTGTGGTGGTTGGTGGCACAGTTGTCGGTGGTTCTGTTGTTGGTGGCACTGTGGTTGTTGGTAGCACAGTTGTCGGTGGTTCTGTTGTTGGTGGCATTGTTGTCGGTGGTTCTGTTGTTGGTGTAACTGTTGTCGGTGATTCTGTTGTTGGTGGCACAGTTGTTGGTGGTTCTGATGTTGGTGGCACTGTGGTAGTTGGTGGCACAGTTGTCGGTGGTTCTGTTGTTGGTGGCACAGTTGTTGGTGGTTCTGTTGTTGGTGGCACTGTGGTGGTTGGTGGCACAGTTGTCGGTGGTTCTGTTGTTGGTGGCACTGTGGTGGTTGGTGGACACAGTTGTCGGTGGTTCTGTTGTTGGTGGCACTGTGGTAGTTGGTGGCACAGTTGTCGGTGGTTCTGTTGTTGGTGGCACTGTGGTGGTTGGTGGCACAGTTGTCGGTGGTTCTGATGTTGGTGGCACAGTTGTCGGCGGTTCTGTTGTTGGTGGCACTGTGGTGGTTGGTGGCACAGTTGTCGGTGATTCTGTTGTTGGTGGGACTGTGGTGGTTGGTGGCACAGTTGTCGGTGGTTCTGTTGTTGGTGGCACTGTGGTGGTTGGTGGCACAGTTGTCGGTGGTTCTGTTGTTGGTGGCACTGTGGTGGTTGGTGGCACAGTTGTCGGCGGTTCTGATGTTGGTGGCACTGTGGTGGTTGGTGGCACAGTTGTCGGTGGTTCTGTTGTTGGTGGCACTGTGGTGGTTGGTGACACAGTTGTCGGTGGTTCTGTGTTGGTGGCACTGTGGTAGTTGGTGGCACAGTTGTCGGTGGTTCTGTTGTTGGTGGCACTGTGGTGGTTGGTGGCACAGTTGTCGGTGTTTCTGATGTTGGTGGCAAAGTTGTCGGCGGTTCTGTTGTTGGTGGCACTGTGGTGGTTGGTGGCACAGTTGTCGGTGATTCTGTTGTTGGTGGGACTGTGGTGGTTGGTGGCACAGTTGTCGGTGGTTCTGTTGTTTTTGGCACTGTGGTGGTTGGTGGCACAGTTGTCGGTGGTTCTGTTGTTGGTGGCACTGTGGTGGTTGGTGGCACAGTTGTCGGCGGTTCTGTTGTTGGTGGCACTGTGGTGGTTGGTGGCACAGTTGTCGGTGGTTCTGTTGTTGGTGGCACCGTGGTTGGTGGCACTGTTGTCGGTGGTTCTGTTGTTGGTGGCACTGTGGTAGTTGGTGGCACAGTTGTCGGTGGTTCTGTTGTTGGTGGCACTGTGGTGGTTGGTGGCACAGTTGTCGGTGGTTCTGATGTTGGTGGCAAAGTTGTCGGCGGTTCTGTTGTTGGTGGCACTGTGGTGGTTGGTGGCACAGTTGTCAGTGATTCTGTTGTTGGTGGGACTGTGGTGGTTGGTGGCACAGTTGTCGGTGGTTCTGTTGTTGGTGGCACTGTGGTGGTTGGTGGCACAGTTGTCGGTGGTTCTGTTGTTGGTGGGACTGTGGTGGTTGGTGGCACAGTTGTCGGTGGTTCTGTTGTTGGTGGGACTGTGGTGGTTGGTGGCACTAGTTGTCGGTGGTTCTGTTGTTGGTGGGACTGTGGTGGTTGGTGGCACAGTTGTCGGTGGTTCTGTTGTTTGTGGCACTGTGGTGGTTGGTGGCACAGTTGTCGGTGGTTCTGTTGTTGGTGGCACTGTGGTGGTTGGTGGCACAGTTGTCGGTGGTTCTGTTGTTGGTGGCACTGTGGTGGTTGGTGGCACAGTTGTCGGTGGTTCTGTTGTTGGTGGCACTGTGGTGGTTGGTTGGCACAGTTGTCGGTGGTTCTGTGTGGTGGGACTGTGGTGTTGGTGGCACATTGTCGGTGTTCTGTTGTTGTGGTCACTGTGGTGGTTGGTGGCACAGTTGTCGTGGTTCTGAGTTGGTGGCAAAGTTGTCGGCGGTTTGTTGTTGGTGGACTGTGGTGGTGGTGCACAGTTGTCGGTGGTTCTTGTTGTTGGTGGCACTGTGGTGGTTGGTGGCACAGTGTCGGTGGTTCGTGTTGGTGGCAACTGTGGTGGTTGGTGGCACAGTGTCGGTGGTTCTGTTGTTGATGGCACTGTGTGGTTGGTGGCACCAGTTGTCGGTGGTTCTGTGTTGGTGGCACTGGTGGTGGTGGTGGCACAGTTGGTCGGTGGTTCTGTGTTGGTGGCACTGTGGGGTGGTGGCACAGTTGTCGTTGGTTCTGTTGGTGGTGGCACTGTGGTGGTTGGTGGCACAGTTGTCGGTGGTTCGATGTTGGTGGCAAAGTTGTCGGCGGTTCTGTTGTTGGTGGGACTGTGGTGGTTGGTGGCACAGTTGTCGGTGGTTCTGTTGTTGGTGGGATTGTGGTGGTTGGTGGCACAGTTGTCGGTGTTTCTGTTGTTGGTGGCACTGTGGTGGTTGGTGGCACAGTTGTCTGTGGTTCTGTTGTTGGTGGCACTGTGGTGGTTGGTGGCACAGTTGTCGGTGGTTCTGTTGTTGATGGCACTGTGGTGGTTGGTGGCACAGTTGTCGGTGGTTCTGTTGTTGGTGGCAGTGTGGTGGTTGGTGGCACAGTTGTCGGTGGTTCTGTTGTTGGTGGCACTGTGGTGGTTGGTGGCACAGTTGTCGGTGGTTCTGTTGTTGGTGGCACTGTGGTAGTTGGTGGCACAGTTGTCGTTGGTTCTGTTGTTGGTGGCACTGTGGTGGTTGGTGGCACAGTTGTCGGTGGTTCTGATGTTGGTGGCAAAGTTGTCGGCGGTTCTGTTGTTGGTGGCACTGTGGTGGTTGGTGGCACAGTTGTCGGTGATTCTGTTGTTGGTGGGACTGTGGTGGTTGGTTGCACAGTTGTCGGCGGTTCTGTTGTTGGTGGCATAGTTGTCGGCGGTTCTGTTGGTGGCACTGTGCTGGTTGGTTGTATAGTTGTCGGTGGTTCTGTTGTTGGTGGCACTGTGCTGGTTGGTGGCACAGTTGGTGGTTCTGATGTTGGTGGCACGGTAATGGTTGGTGGCACAGTTGTCGGCGGTTCTGTTGTTGGTGGTACAGTTGTCGGTGGTTCTGTTATTGGTGGCACTGTGCTGGTTGGTGGTACAGTTGTCGGTGATTCTGATGTTGGTGGCACAGTTGTCAGTGGTTCTGATGTTGGTGGCACTGTGGTGGTTGGTGGCACAGTTGTCGGTGATTCTGATGTTGGTGGCACAGTTGTTGGTGATTCTGATGTTGGTGGCACTGTGGTGGTTGGTGGCACTGTTGTCGGCGGTTCTGTTGTTGGTGGCACAGTTGTCGGTGGTTCTGATGTTGGTGGCACAGTTGTCGGTGGTTCTGATGTTGGTGGCACTGTGGTGGTTGGTGGCACAGTTGTCGGTGTTTCTGTTGTTGGTGGCACTGTGGTGGTTGGTGGCACAGTTGTCGGTGGTTCTGTTGTTGGTGGCACTGTGGTGGTTGGTGGCACAGTTGTCGGTGGTTCTGTTGTTGGTGGCACTGTGGTGGTTGGTGGCACAGTTGTCGGTGGTACTGTTGTTGGTGGCACTGTGGTAGTTGGTGGCACAGTTGTCGGTGGTTCTGTTGTTGGTGGCACTGTGGTGGTTGGTGGCACAGTTGTCGGTGGTTCTGATGTTGGTGGCAAAGTTGACGGCGGTTCTGTTGTTGGTGGGACTGTGGTGGTTGGTGGCACAGTTGTCGGTGGTTCTGTTGTTGGTGGGACTGTGGTGGTTGGTGGCACAGTTGTCGGCGGTTCTGTTGTTGGTGGCAATGTGGTGGTTGGTGGCACAGTTGTCGGTGGTTCTGTTGTTGGTGGGACTGTGGTGGTTGGTGGCACAGTTGTCGGCGGTTCTGTTGTTGGTGGCAATGTGGTGGTTGGTGGCACAGTTGTCCGTGGTTCTGTTGTTGGTGGCACTGTGGTGGTTGGTGGCACATTTGTCGGTGGTTCTGTTGTTGGTGGCACTGTGGTAGTTGGTGGCACAGTTGTCGTTGGTTCTGTTGTTGGTGGTACTGTGGTGGTTGGTGGCACAGTTGTCGGTGGTTCTGATGTTGGTGGCAAAGTTGTCGGCGGTTCTGTTGTTGGTGGCACTGTGGTGGTTGGTGGCACAGTTGTCGGTGATTCTGTTGTTGGTGGGACTGTGGTGGTTGGTGGCACAGTTGTCGGCGGTTCTGTTGTTGGTGGCACAGTTGTCGGCGGTTCTGTTGGTGGCACTGTGCTGGTTGGTTGTATAGTTGTCGGTGGTTCTGTTGTTGGTGGCACTGTGCTGGTTGGTGGCACAGTTGGTGGTTCTGATGTTGGTGGCACGGTAATGGTTGGTGGCACAGTTGTCGGCGGTTCTGTTGTTGGTGGTACAGTTGTCGGTGGTTCTGTTATTGGTGGCACTGTGGTGGTTGGTGGTACAGTTGTCGGTGATTCTGATGTTGGTGGCACAGTTGTCGGTGGTTCTGATGTTAGTGGCACTGTGGTGGTTGGTGGCACAGTTGTCGGTGATTCTGATGTTGGTGGCACAGTTGTTGGTGGTTCTGATGTTGGTGGCACTGTGGTGGTTGGTGGCACAGTTGTCGGCGGTTCTGTTGTTGGTGGCACAGTTGTCGGTGGTTCTGATGTTGGTGGCACAGTTGTCGGTGGTTCTGATGTTGGTGGCACTGTGGTGGTTGGTGGCACAGTTGTCGGCGGTTCTGTTGTTGGTGGCACTGTGGAAGTAATTGGTATACAGTTGTTGGTGATTTTATGGTGATACATTGGTTATGATTGGTAATTTATGTAAATGTTTGCATTTGTATGTATGTACAGTGATTTACAATGAATTCTTGATTATTGTAAGAAATACCGTTTACTTACTTACAGAGACATTAATGCATCTAACATTAAACACATGGAAAAAAATGTTACGTCACATGTAAACAATGGTTTTGTCAATTACAAAACAAGAAAGAACTGGTTAAATTGTATACATACCATTTTTTTTACTATTCTCACAAAGGAACGCACATAGGTAAAAAAAAGGTATAGATGAGGGAGTTCAGAAAGGAGAAAGACAGAATAAAAAATGATGGGAGACAGCAATAAAAAGAACCATCACACTTCTCTTTTTATTATAAAATTATAGTTATAATAATGATGATGATAAGGAATAAATGATAATGAGTAAAATTGCCAATGAAACACCAAACAGTCACCTATCGCAACCAGGTCTTCCCCTCACCCCGTCCTGTTATCCCTATTCCTTCCCGGATCGCCTTTTTATTTTGTCGTCGCGTCTTTTCATTTAGATGTAAGGAATACTGGGCCATCTACGGGCGACATGTAGTAACACATGGCAAACTATGAAAGCGAATTTTGCTCTGTATATATGTGCATGTACATGAACATGCATACATGTAAAATTTGCTTATGTTATGCTTAAAATACAATTTTCCTTACAGCAATTTCGCTCTTTAAAGGTACAAACGTGTACCGTCTAATGAAAATACGCTGGTACGCGTCGATAAAACTGTGTACTGGTTTTCTACCTGTTGTTGCTGCTATTTGGCTCTCCACTTGGTCAAGCTCATCCGTTTTATTTTGTTTTTGTTCTTGCAAAATATTGACGAGCAGTTGAACTGATTGGACTTGGTCTCCCACGACACTGCTTGCTGCTTCTACCGCGGTCGTGATGTTATCTAATACAGTCGAATCGATAACGAAGGTTCCATTCTCTATGAGTGTGGCGAAATTATCAATGAGTTGATTGAAGCAAGTGATTTGGTCGGTTGTGAGGTTGGACAGCTTGGTGGAGAGATCATTGATCATTGTAAGAAGCAGATCTGTTGGGTTGCCAGTCACGGCATTGTCCTGATTTACCTCACAATATGGATCGACCGTGACAGTGTCGCCATCTTGATCGATAGAGTAAGTAAGCGATCGGCGCTTCCTTCCGGAATTGCCAGCGGCTTCCTCGATGGCTTCAATGACTCGTTGCAGGGCTTCATTGGTGTTCTGCAGAGCTGTGAGAGTGGCGTTGGAGGCAGCAATCTGGTTCTCGAGTCTTTCAATTTCTTGAAGTAACTGTGTTTTTTTCTGTTGCAGTTCTGATAAAGTATTTTGCGTAGTTTCTTGTTTTACAGATGTTGAAAGTATTGTGGCTGATTCTGTTGGTGGCACTGTACTGGATGGTGGCAAAGTTGACTGCAAGTTTGTTTGAGGTACTATGCTGGTTGGTGTCACAGATATCGACGGTTCTGTTGGTGTCACTGTGGTGGTTGGTGGTACAGTTGTCGGCAGTTCTCTTGTTGGTGGCACTGTGGTGGTTGGTGGCACAGTTGTCAGCAGCAGTGTTGTTGATGGCACTTTGGTAGTTGGTGGAACAGTTGTCGACGGCTCTCTCATTGGTGTCACTGCGCTGGTTTGTGGCACAGTTGTCGGCGCTTCAGATGTTAGTGGCAAAGTTGTCGGTGGATTTGTTATTGGTGGCACTGTGGTGGTTGGTGGCACAGTTGTCGGTGGTTCTGTTGTTGGTGGCACTGTGGTGGTTAGTGGCACAGTTGATAGTGATTCTGTTGTTGGTGGCACTGTGCTAGTTGGTGGCACAGTTGTCGGCAGTTCTGTTGTTGGTGGCACTGTGCTGGTTGGTGGTACAGTTGTCGGTGGTTCTGTTGATGGTGGCACAGTTGTTGGTGGATCTATTGGTAGCACTGTGGTGGTTGTTGGCACAGTTGTCGGCGGTTCTGTTATTGGTGGCATTGTGGTGGTTTGTGGCACAGTTGTTGGTGGCACTGTGGTGGTTGGTGGCATAATTGTCGGTGGTTCTGTTGTTGGTGGCACTGTGGTGGTTGGTGGCACAGTTGTCGGTGGTTTTGTTGTTGGTGGCACTGTGCTCGTTGGTGGCACAGTTGTCGGTGGCTCTGTTGGTGGCGCTGTGTTGGTTGGTGGCACAGTTATCGTTGATTCTGTTGTTGGCGGCACTGTGCTGGTTGGTTGCACAGTTGGCGGTTCTGTTGTTGGTGGCACTGTGCTGGTTGGTTGCACAGTTTTTGGTGGTTCTGTTGTTGGTGGCACTGTGGTGGTTGGTGGCACAGTTGCAGGTGGTTCTGTTGTTGGTGGCACTGTGCTGGTTGGTGGCACATTTGGCGGTTCAGTTGTTGGTGGCACTGTGCTGGTTGTTGGCACAGTTGTCGGTGGTTCTGTTGTTGGTGGCACTGTGCTTGTTGGCTGCACAGTTAGCGGTTCAGTTGTTGGTAGTACTGTGGTGGTTGGTGACACAGTTGTCGGTGTGGTCCTGTTGTTGGTGGCACTGTGGTGGTTGGTGGCACAGTTGGCGGTTCAGTTGTTGGTGGCACTGTGGTGGTTGGTTGTACAGTTGTTGGTGGTTCTGATGTTGGTGATACAGTTGTCGGCGGTTCTGTTGGTGGTGGCACTGTAGTAGTTGGTGGAATAGTTTCCGGCGGTTCTGTTGTTGGTGGCACTGTGCTGGTTGGTTGCACAGTTGTCGGTGGTTCTGTTGTTGATGGCACAGTTGTCGGTGGTTCTGTTGTTGGTGGCACTGTGGTGGTTGGTGGCACAGTTGTCGGTGGTTCTGTTGTTGGTGGCACAGTTGTCGGTGGTTCTGTTGTTGGTGGCACTGTGGTGGTTGATGGTACAGTTATCGGTGGTTCTGTTGGTGGCACAGTTGTCGGTGGTTCTGTTGGTGGCACTGTGGTGGTTGGTGGCACAGTTGGCGGTTCAGTTGTTCGTGGCACTGTGCTGGTTGGTGGTACAGTTGTCGGTGGTTCTGTTGTTGGTGACACTGTGGTGGTTTGTGGCACAGTTGTCGGCGGTTCTGTTGGTGGTGGCACTGTGTTGGTTGGTTGCACAGCTGTTGGTGGTTCTGATGTTGGTGGCACTGTAGTGGTTGGTGGCATAGTTGTCGGCGGTTCTGTTGTTGGTGGCACTGTGGTGGTTGTTGGCACAGTTATCGGCGGTTCTGTTGGTGGCACAGTTGTCGGTGGTTCTGTTGTTGGTGGCACTGTGGTGGTTGGTGGTACAGTTGTCGGTGGTTCTGTTGTTGGTCGCACTGTGCTGGTTGGTGGCACAGTTGTCGGTGGTTCTGTTGTTGGTGGCACAGTTATCGGTGGTTCTGTTGTTGGTGTCACAGTTGTCGGTGGTTCTGTTGTTGGTGGCACAGTTGTCGGCGGTTCTGTTGTTGGTGGCACTGTGGTGGTTGGTGGCACAGTTGGCGGTTCAGTTATTAGTGGCACTGCGCTGGTTGATGGTACAGTTGTCGGCGGTTCTGTTGGTGGTGGCCCTGTGGTGGTTTGTGGCACAGTTGTCGGTGGTTCTGTTGTTGGTGGCACTGTGCTGGTTGGTTGCACAGTTGGTGGTGGTTCTGTTGCTGGTGGCATTGTGGTGGTTGGTGGCACAGTTGTCGCTGGTTCTGTTGGTGGTGGCACTGTGGTGGTTAGTTGCACAGTTGTTGGTGGTTCTGCTGTTGGTGGCACTGTGGTGGTTGGTGGCACAGTTTTCGGTGGTTCTGTTGTTGGTGGCACCGTGCCGGTTGGTTGCACAGTTTTTGGTGGTTCTGTTGTTGGTGGCACTCTACTGGTGTGTGGTACAGTTGTCGGCGGTTCTGTTGGTGGTGGCACAGTGCTGGTTGGTTGCACAGTTGTCGGTGGTTCTGTTGGTGGTGGTACTGTGCTGGTTGGTGGTACAGTTGTCGGCGGTTCTGTTGTTGGCGACACTGTGGTGGCTAGTGGTACAGTTGTCGGCGGTTCTGTTGTTGGTGGCACAGTTGTCGGTGGTTCTGTTGTTGGTGGCACTGTGCTGGTTGGTTGCACAGTTTTTGGTGGTCCTGTTGTTGGTGGCACTGTGCTGGTTGGTGGTACAGTTGTCGGCGGTTCTGTTGTTGGTGGCACCGTGGTGTTTAGTGGCACAGTTGTCGGCGATTCTGTTGTTGGTGGCACTGTAGTGGTTGGCGGCACAGTTATCGGTGGTTCTGTTATTGGCACAGTTGTCGTTGGTTCTGTTGTTGGTGGCACAGTTGTCGGTGGTTCTGTTGTTGGTGGCACTGTGGTGGTTGGTGGCACAGTTGTCGGTGGTTCTGTTGTTGGTTGCATTGTGTTGGTTGGTTGCACAGTTGTTGGTAGTTCTGATGTTGGTGGCACTGTAGTAGTTGGTGACATAGTTATCGGCGGTTCTGTTGTTTGTGGCAAAGTTGTCGGTGGTTCTGTTGTTGGTGGCACTGTAGTGGTTGGTGGCACAGTTGCCGGTGATTCTGATGTTTTTGGTACAGTTGTCGGTGGTTCTGTTGTTGGTGGCACTGTGGTAGTTTGTGGCACAGTTGTCGGTGGTTCTGTTGTTGGTGGCACAGTTGTCGGTGGTTCTGTTGTTGGTGGCACTGTGGTGGTTGGTGGTACAGCTGTCGGTGGTTCTGTTGTTGGTGGCACTGTGGTGGTTGGTGGCACAGTTGTCGGTGGTTCTGTTGATGGCACTGTAGTGGTTGGTGGCACAGTTTTCGGTGGTTCTGTTGGTGGCACTGTGGTGGTTGGTGGCACAGTTGTCGGCGGTTCTGTTGTTGGCGGCATTGTGGTGGTTAGTGGCACAGTTGTCGGCGGTTCTGTTGTTGGTGGCATAGTTATCGGGGGTTCTGTTGTTGGTGGCACAGTGCTGGTTGGTTGCACAGTTTTTGGTGGTTCTGTTGTTGGTGGCACTGTGGTGGTTAGTGGCACAGTTGTCGGCGGTTCTGTTGTTGGTGGCACAGTTATCGGGGGTTCTGTTGTTGTTGGCACAGTTGTCGTTGGTTCTGTTATTGGTGGCCACAGTTGTCGGTGGTTCTGTTGTTGGCACTGTGATGGTTGGTGGCACAGTTGTCGGTGGTTCTGATGTTGGTGGCACTCTGGTTGTTGGTGGCACAGTTGTTGGGGGTTCTGTTGTTGGTGGCACAGTTGTTTGCGGTTCTGTTGATAGTGGTACTGTGCTGGTTGGTGGCAAAGCTGTCGGTGGTTCTGTTGTTGGTGACACAGTTGTCGGTGGTTCTGTTGTTGGTGACACAGTTGTCGGTGGTTCTGTTGTTGGTGGCGACTGTGGTGGTTGGTGGCACAGTTGTCGGTGGTTCTGTTGTTGGTGGCACAGTTGTCGGTGGTTCTGATGTTGGTGGCACTGTGGTGGTTGGGTGGCACAGTTGTCGTGGTTCTGATGTTGGTGGCACTGTGGTGGTTGGTGGCACAGTTGTCGGTGGTTCTGATGTTGGAGGCACTGTGGTGGATGGTGGCACAGTTGTCGGTGGTTCTGATGTTGGGTGGCACTGTGGTGGTAGGTGGCACAGTTTTCGGTGGTTCTGATGTTGGTGGCACTGTGGGGTTGGTGGCACAGTTGCGGTGGTTCTGATGTTGTGGCACTGTGGTGGTTGGTGGCACAGTTGTCGGTGTTCTGATGTTGGTGGCACTGTGGTGGTTGTTGGCACAGTTGTCGTGGTTCTTTGTTGGTGGCACTGTTGTCGGTGGTTCTGTTGTTGGTGCACAGTTGTCGGTGTTCTGTTGTTGTGGCACAGTTGGCGGTGGTTCTGTTGTTGGTGCACAGTTGTCGGTGTTTCTGTTGTTGGTGACACTGTGGTGGTTGGTGGCACAGTTTTCGGTGGTTCTGTTGTTGGTGGCACAGTTTGTCGGTGGTTCTGATGTTGGTGGCCACTGTGGTGGTTGGTGGCACAGTTGTCGGTGGTTCTGATGTTGGTGGCACTGTGGGGTTGGTGGCACAGTTGTTGGTGGCACTGTTGTCGGTGGTTCTGTTGTTGTGGCACTGTGGTGGTTGTGGCACAGTTTCGGTGGTTCTGTTGTCGGTGACACAGTTGTCGGTGGTTCTGTTGTCGGTGACACAGTTGTCGGTGGTTCTGTTGTTGTTGGTGGTTCTGATGTTGGTGACACAGTTGTCGGTGGTTCTGTTGTCGGTGACACAGTTGTCGGTGGTTCTGTTGTCGGTGACACAGTTGTCGGTGGTTCTGTTGTTGTCGGTGGTTCTGTTGTCGGTGGCACCGTGGAGGTTGGTGGCACAGTTGTCGGTGGTTCTGTTGTCGGTGACACAGTTGTCGGTGGTTCTGTTGTCGGTGACACAGTTGTCGGTGGTTCTGTTGTTGTCGGTGGTTCTGTTGTCGGTGACACAGTTGTCGGTGGTTCTGTTGTCGGTGACACAGTTGTCGGTGGTTCTGTTGTTGGTGGTGGTTCTGATGTTGGTGGCACTGTGGTGGTAGGTGGCACAGTTGTCGGTGTTTCTGATGTTTGTGGCACTGTGGTGATTGGTGGCACAGTTGTCGGTGGTTCTGATGTTGGTGGCACTGTGGTGGTTGGGGGCACAGTTGTCGGTGGTTCTGATGTTGGTGGCACTGTGGTGGTTGGTAGCACAGTTGTCGGTGGTTCTGATATTGGTGGCACTGTGGTGGTAGGTGGCACAGTTATCGGTGTTTCTGATGTTTGTGGCACTGTGGTGATTGGTGGCACAGTTGTCGGTGGTTCTGATGTTGGTGGCACTGTGGTGGTTGGTGGCACAGTTGTTGGTGGTTCTGATGTTGGTGGCACTGTGGTGGTTGGTGGCACAGTTGTCGGTGGTTCTGTTGTTGGTGGCACAGTTGTCGGTGGTTCTGTTGTTGGTGGCACAGTTGTCGGTGGTTCTGTTGTTGGTGGCACTGTGGTGGTTGGTGGCACAGTTGTCGGTGGTTCTGTTGTTGGTGGCACAGTTGTCGGTAGTTTTGATGTTGGTGGCACTGTGGTGGTTGGTGGCACAGTTGTCGGTGGTTCTGATGTTGGTGGCACTGTGGTGGTTGGTTTCATAACTGTCGGTTCTGTTGTTGGTGGCACCGTGGAGGTTGGTGGCACAGTTGTCGGTGGTTCTGTTGTCGGTGGCACAGTTGTCGGTGGTTCTGATGTTGGTGGCACTGTGGTGGTAGGTGGCACAGTTGTCGGTGGTTCTGATGGTGGCACTGTGGTGGTTGGTGGCACAGTTGTCGGTGGTTCTGATGTTGGTGGCACTGTGGTGGTAGGTGGCACAGTTGTCGGTGTTTCTGATGTTTGTGGCACTGTGGTGATTGGTGGCACAGTTGTCGGTGGTGCTGATGTTGGTGGCACTGTGGTGGTTGGTGGCACAGTTGTCGGTAGTTCTGATGTTGGTGGCACTGTGGTGGTTGGTGGCACAGTTGTCGGTGGTTCTGATGTTGGTGGCACTGTGGTGGTAGGTGGCACAGTTGTCGGTGTTTCTGATGTTTGTGGCACTGTGGTGATTGGTGGCACAGTTGTCGGTGGTTCTGATGTTGGTGGCACTGTGGTGGTTGGTGGCACAGTTGTCGGTGGTTCTGATGTTGGTGGCACTGTGGTGGTTGGTGGCACAGTTGTCGGTGGTTCTGTTGTTGGTGGCACAGTTGTCGGTGGTTCTGTTGTTGGTGGCACTGTGGTGGTTGGTGGCACAGTTGTCGGTGGTTCTGTTGTTGGTGGCACAGTTGTCGGTAGTTCTGATGTTGGTGCCACTGTGGTGGTTGGTGGCACAGTTGTCGGTGGTTCTGATGTTGGTGGCACTGTGGTGGTTGGTGGCATAACTGTTGGTTCTGTTGTTGGTGGCACCGTGGAGGTTGGTGGCACAGTTGTCGGTGGCACTGTGGTGGTTGGTGGCACAGTTGTCGGTGGTTCTGTTGTTGGTGGCACTGTGGTGGTTGGTGGCACAGATGTCGGTGGTTCTGATGGTGGCACTGTGGAGGTTGGTGGCACAGTTGTCGGTGGTTCTGATGTTGGAGGCACTGTGGTGGTTGGTGCCACAGTTGTCGGTGGTTCTGTTGCTAGTGGCACAGTTGTCGGTGGTTCTGTTGTTGGTGGCACAGTTGTCGGTGGTTCTGTTGTTGGTGGCACAGTTGTCGGTGGTTCTGTTGTTGGTGGCACAGTTGTCGGTGGTTCTGATGTTGGTGGCACTGTGGTGGTTGGTGGCACAGTTGTCGGTGGTTCTGTTGTTGGTGGCACAGTTGTCGGTGGTTCTGATGTTGGTGGCACTGTGGTGGTTGGTGGCACAGTTGTCGGTGGTTCTGTTGTTGGTGGCACTGTGCTGGATGGTGGCACAGTTGTCGGTGGTTCTTTTGTTGGTGGCACTGTGGTTGTTGGTGACACAATTGTTTGCGGTTCTGTTGTTGTTGGTACTGTGCTGGTTGGTGGCACAGTTGTCGGTGGTTCTGTTGTTGGTGGCACTGTGGTGGTTGGTGGCACAGTTGTCGGTGGTTCTGTTGTTGGTGGCACTATGGTGGTTGGTGGCACAGTTGTCGGTGGTTCTGTTGTTGGTAGCACTGTGCTGGTTGGTGGCACAGTTGTCGGTGGTTCTTTTGTTGGTGGCACTGTGGTTGTTGGTGACACAATTGTTTGCGGTTCTGTTGTTGTTGGTACTGTGCTGGTTGGTGGCACAGTTGTCGGTGGTTCTGTTGTTGGTGGTACAGTTATCGGTGGTTCTGTTGTTGGTGGCACTGTGGTGGTTGGTGGCACAGTTGTCGGTGGTTCTGTTGTTGGTGGCACAGTTGTCGGTGGTTCTGATGTTGGTGGTACTGTGGTGGTTGGTGGGTGAGTAGCGGTTGGTGGCACAGTTGTCGGTGGTTCTGATGTTGGTGGCACTGTGGTAGTTGGTGGCACAGTTGTCGGTGGTTCTGATGTTGGAGGCACTGTGGTAGTTGGTGGCGCAGTTGTCGTTGGCTCTGATGCTGGTGGCACAGTTGTCGGCGTTTCAGTTGTTGATGGCACTGTGGTGGTTGATGGCACAGTTGTTGGTTCTGATGTTGGTGGCACTGTGCTGGTTGGTGGCACAGTTATCAGCGGTTCTGTTGTTGGCACTGAGCTGGTTGGTGGCATAGTTGTCGGTGGTTCTGTTGTTGGTGGCACTGTGCTGGTTGATGGCATAGTTTTCGGTGGCTCTGATGTTGGTTGTACAGTTGTCAGCGGTTCTGTTGTTGGCACTGTGCTGGTTGGTGGCACAGTTGTCGGTGGTTCTGTTGTTGGTGGCACTGTTGTGGTTGGTGGCACAGTTGTCGGTGGTTCTGTGCTGGTTGGTAGCACAGTTGTCGGTGGTTCTGTTGTTGGTGGCACTGTGCTGGTTGTTGGCACAGTTGTCGGTGGTTCTGATGTAGGTAGCTCTGTGGTGGTTGGTGGCATAGTTGTCGGTGGTTCTGATGTTAGTTCTACAGTTGTCGGCGGTTCTGTTGTTGGCACTGTGCTGGTTGGTGGCACAGTTGTTGGTGGTTCTGTTGTTGGTAGCAATGTGGTGGTTGGTGGCACTGTTGTCGGTGGTTCTGTGCTGGTTGGTAGTACAGTTGTCGGTGATTCTGTTGTTGGTGGCACTGTGGTGGTTGGTTGCACAGTTGTCGGTGGTTCTGTTGTTGGTGGCACTGTGCTGGTTGGTGGCACAGTTGTCGGTGGTTCTGTTGTTTGTTTCACAGTTGTCTGTGGATCTGTTGTTGGTGACACTGTGCTGGTTGGTGGCACAGTTATCAGCGGTTCTGTTGTTGGCACTGAGCTGGTTGGTGGCATAGTTGTCGGTGGTTCTGTTGTTGGTGGCACTGTGCTGGTTGATGGCATAGTTTTCGGTGGTTCTGATGTTGGTTGTACAGTTGTCAACGGTTCTGTTGTTGGCACTGTGCTGGTTGGTGGCACAGTTGTCGGTGGTTCTGTTGTTGGTGGCACTGTGGTGGTTGGTGGCACAGTTGTCGGTGGTTCTCTGCTGGTTGGTAGCACAGTTGTCGGTGGTTCTGTTGTTGGTGGCACTGTGCTGGTTGTTGGCACAGTTGTCGGTGGTTCTGATGTAGGTAGCTCTGTGGTGGTTGGTGGCATAGTTGTCGGTGGTTCTGATGTTAGTTCTACAGTTGTCGGCGGTTCTGTTGTTGGCACTGTGCTGGTTGGTGGCACAGTTGTTGGTGGTTCTGTTGTTGGTAGCAATGTGGTGGTTGGTGGCACTGTTGTCGGTGGTTCTGTGCTGGTTGGTAGTACAGTTGTCGGTGATTCTGTTGTTGGTGGCACTGTGGTGGTTGGTTGCACAATTGTCGGTGGTTCTGTTGTTGGTGGCACTGTGCTGGTTGGTGGCACAGTTGTCGGTGGTTCTGTTGTTTGTTTCACAGTTGTCTGTGGTTCTGTTGTTGGTGGCACTGTGGTTGTTGGTAGCACAGTTGTCGGTGGTTTTGTTGTTGGTGGCACTGTGGTTGTTGGTAGCACAGTTGTTGGTGGTTCTGTTGTTGGTGGCACTGTGGTGGTTGGTGGTACAGTTGTCGGTGGTTCTGTTGTTGGTGGCACTGTGCTGGCTGGTGGCACAGTTGTTGGTGGTTCTGTGCTGGTTGGTAGCACAGTTGTCGGTGATTCTGTTGTTGGTGGCACTGTGGTGGTTGGTTGCACAGTTGTCGGTGGTTCTGTTGTTGGTGGCACTAGGGTTGTTTGTGGCACAGTTGTCGGTGGTTCTGTTGTTTGTTTCACAGTTGTTTGTGGTTCTGTTGTTGGTGGCACTGTGGTGGTTGGTGGCACAGTGTTCGGTGGTTCTGTTGTTGGTGGCACTGTGGTTGTTGGTAGGACAGTTGTCGGTGGTTCTGATGTTGGTAGTACAGTTGTCGGCGGGTCTGTTATTAGTGGCACTGTGGTGGTTGATGGCACAGTTGTCGGTGGTTTTGTTGTTTGTGGCACTGTGGTGGTTAGTGGCACATTTGTCGGTGGTTCTGTTGTTTGTGACACTGCGGTGGCTGGTGGCACAGTTGTCGGTGGTCCTGATGTTGGTGGCACAGTTGTTGGTGGGTCTGATGGTGGCACTGTGGTGGTTGGTGGCACAGTTGTCGGTGGTTCTGATTTTTGTGGCACTGTGGTGGTTGGTGGCACAGTTGTCGGTGGTTCTGATGATTGTGGCATTATGGTGGTTGGTGGCACAGTTGTCGGTGGTTCTGTTGTTTGTGGCACTGTGGTGGTTGGTGGCACAGTTGTCGGTAGTTCTGATGTTTGTAGCACTGTGGTGGTTGGTGGCACAGTTGTCAGTGGATCTGATGTTGTTGGCACAGTTGTCGGCGGGTCTGTTATTTGTGGCACTGTGGTGGATGGTGGCACAGTTGTCGGTGGTTCTGTTGTTTGTGGCACTGTGGTGGTTGGTGGCACAGTTGTCGGTGGTTCTGTTGTTTGTGGCACTGTGGTGATTGGTGGCACAGTTGTTGGTGGCACTGTTGTCGGTGGTTCTGTTGTTTGTGGCACTGTGTTGGTTGGTAGCATAGTTGTCGGTGGTTCTGTTGTTTGTGGCACTCTGCTGGTTGATGGCACAGTTGGTGGTTCTGATGTTGCTGACACTGTGGTTGTTGGTTGCACAGTTGTCGGTGGTTTTGTTGTTGGTGGTTCTGTTGTTGGTGGCACTGGGTGGTTGGTGGCACTGTGGTTATTTGTAAAACTGTGGTTGTTGGTTGCACAGTTGTTGGTGGCACTGTGGTTGTTGGTTGCACAGTTGTCGGTGGTTCTGTTGTTGGTGACACAGTTGTCGGTGTTCTGTTGTTGTGGCACTGTGGTGTTGGTGGCACCGTGGAGGTTGGTGGCACAGTTGGCGGTTCAGTTGTTGGTGGCACTGTGCTGTTGGTGGCACTGTGGTTGTTGGTAGCACAGTTGTTGGTGGCACTGTGGTTGTTGGTGACACAGTTGTCGGTGGTTTGTGTTGGTGGCACTGTGGTGGTTGTTGGCACAGTTGTCGGTGGTTCTGTGTTGGTGGCACAGTGGTCGGTGGTTCTGTTGGTGGTGGCACTGTGGTTGTTGGTGGCACTGTGGTGGTTGGTGGCACAGTTGTTGGTGGTTCTGATGTTGGAGGCACTGTGGTGGTTGGTGGCACAGTTGTCGTGGTTCTGATGTTGTGGCACTGTGGTGATTGGTGGCACAGTTGTTGGTGGCACTGTAGTGGTTGGTGGCACAGTGTCGGTGGTTCTGATTTTGGTGGCACTGTGCTGGTGGTGGCACAGTGTCCGGTGGTTCTGTTGTTGGTGGCACTGTGGTTGTTGGTTGCACAGTTGTCGGCGTTCTGTTGTTGGTGGCACAGTTTGTCGGTGGTTCTGTTGTTGTGGCACTGTGGTGTTGGTGGCACAGTTGTCGTTGGTTCTGTTGTTGGTGGCACTGTGTGGTTGGTGGCACTGTTGTGGTTGGTGGCACAGTTTTCGGTGGTTCTGATGTTAGTTCTACAGTTGTCGGCGGTTCTGATGTTGGTGGCACTGTTGTCGGTGGTTCTGATGTTAGTTCTACAGTTGTCGGCGGTTCTGATGTTGGTGGCACTGTGGTTGTTGGTAGCACAGTTGTTGGTGGCACTGTGTGGTTGGTGGCACAGTTATCAGCGGTTCTGTTGTTGGTGACACAGTTGTCGGTGTTCTGATGTTTGTGGCACTGTGGTTATTTGTAAAACTGTGGTTGTTGGTTGCACAGTTGTCGGTGTTCTGTTGTTGGTGACACAGTTGTCGGTGGTTTTGTTGTTGGTGGCACAGTTATCAGCGGTTCTGTTGTTGGTGACACAATTGTTTGCGGTTCTGTTGTTGGTGGCACAGTTGTCGGTGTTCTGTTGTTGTGGCACAGTTGTCGGTGTTCTGATGTTTGTGGCACTGTGGTGTTGGTGCACAGTTGTCGGTAGTTCTGATGTTGGTGCACTGTGGTGGTTGATGGCACAGTTGTCGGTGATTCTGTTGTTGGTGGCAACAGTTGTCGGTGGTTCTGATGTAGGTAGCTCTGTGGTGGTTGGTGTCACAGTTGTCGGTGGTTTGATGTTGGTGGCACTGTGGTTGTTGGTAGCACAGTTGTTGGTGGCACTGTTGTCGGTGGTTCTGTTGTTGTCGGTGGTTCTGATGTTGGAGGCACTGTGGTGGTTGTGGCACAGTTGTCGGCAGTTCTGTTGTTGGTGACACAGTTGTCGGTGGTTCTGTTGTCGGTGACACAGTTGTCGGTGATTCTGTTGTTGGTGGCACCGTGGAGGTTGGTGGCACAGTTTTCGGTGGTTCTGATGTTGTGGCACTGTGGTGGTTAGTGGCACAGTTGTCGGCAGTTCTGTTGTTGGTGGCACAGTTGTTGGTGGCACTGTGGTGATTGGTGGCACAGTTGTTGGTGGTTCTGATGTTAGTTCTACAGTTGTCGGCGGTTCTGTTGTTGGTGGCACTGTGGTGATTGGTGGCACAGTTGTTGGTGGCACTGTGGGGTTGGTGGCACAGTTATCAGCGGTTCTGTTGTTGGTGACACAATTGTTTGCGGTTCTGTTGATAGTGGTACTGTGCTGGTTGGTGGCACAGTTTGTCGGTGGTTCTGTTGTTGGTGACACAATTGTTTGCGGTTCTGTTGTTGGTGCACAGTTGTCGGTGGTCTGATGTTGGTGGCACAGTTGCGGTGGTTCTGATGTTGGAGGCACTGTGGTGGTTAGTGGCACAGTTGTCGGTAGTTCTGATGTTGGTGGCACAGTTGTTGGTGGCACTGTAGTGGTTGGTGGCACAGTTGTCGTTGGTTCCTCAGTAGTTTTCATTGGTGTTGACTGCATTGTCGTTGGTTGTTTAGTGGAAGTAGGTGGCATTGTAGTTATGTTTTCATTGGTGGGGAGCTTAGTTACCGTTGTATGTAATTCGGTGGTTGTTGGAGTGCCTGCAGATTTTAAGTGAATATGTATATAAACATATATTTGTATTTACAAATATATGTGTATATACATATAAATATGAATATATACATTGGTGTATATACACATATATTTGTATATACATATATATTTGTATAAACATATAAATATGCGTATATACATTTGTGTATATACACATATATTTGTATATACATATATATTTGTATAAACATATAAATATGCGTATATACATTTGTGTATATACACATATATTTGTATATACATATATATTTGTATAAACATATAAATATGCGTATATACATTTGTGTATATACACATATATTTGTATATACATATATATTTGTATAAACATATAAATATGCGTATATACATTTGTGTATATACACATATATTTGTATATACATATATATTTGTATAAACATATAAATATGCGTATATACATTTGTGTATATACACATATATTTGTATATACATATATATTTGTATAAACATATAAATATGCGTATATACATTTGTGTATATACACATATATTTGTATATACATATATATTTGTATAAACATATAAATATGCGTATATACATTTGTGTATATACACATATATTTGTATATACATATATATTTGTATAAACATATAAATATGCGTATATACATTTGTGTATATACACATATATTTGTATATACATATATATTTGTATAAACATATAAATATGCGTATATACATTTGTGTATATACACATATATTTGTATATACATATATATTTGTATAAACATATAAATATGCGTATATACATTTGTGTATATACACATATATTTGTATATACATATATATTTGTATAAACATATAAATATGCGTATATACATTTGTGTATATACACATATATTTGTATATACATATATATTTGTATAAACATATAAATATGCGTATTACATTTGTGTATATACACATATATTTGTATATACATATATATTTGTATAAACATATAAATATGCGTATATACATTTGTGTATATACACATATATTTGTATATACATATATATTTGTATAAACATATAAATATGCGTATATACATTTGTGTATATACACATATATTTGTATATACATATATATTTGTATAAACATATAAATATGCGTATATACATTTGTGTATATACACATATATTTGTATATACATATATATTTGTATAAACATATAAATATGCGTATTACATTTGTGTATATACACATATATTTGTATATACATATATATTTGTATAAACATATAAATATGCGTATATACATTTGTGTATATACACATATATTTGTATATACATATATATTTGTATAAACATATAAATATGCGTATATACATTTGTGTATATACACATATATTTGTATATACATATATATTTGTATAAACATATAAATATGCGTATATACATTTGTGTATATACACATATATTTGTATATACATATATATTTGTATAAACATATAAATATGCGTATATACATTTGTGTATATACACATATATTTGTATATACATATATATTTGTATAAACATATAAATATGCGTATATACATTTGTGTATATACACATATATTTGTATATACATATATATTTGTATAAACATATAAATATGCGTATTACATTTGTGTATATACACATATATTTGTATATACATATATATTTGTATAAACATATAAATATGCGTATATACATTTGTGTATATATCAGTCACCTATCGCAACCAGGTCTTCCCCTCACCCCGTCTTGTTATCCCTATCCCTTCCCGGATCGCCTTTTCATTTTGTCGTCGCGTCTTTTCATTTAGATGCAAGGAATACTGGGCCATCTACGGGCGTCATGTAGTAACACATGGCAAACTGTGAAAGTGGACTTTTGCTCTGTACATGTATGCATGTACATGAACATGCATACATGTAAAATTTGCTTATGTTATGCTTAAAAAGTTTCCTTACGGTAATTTCGCTCTTTAAAGGTACAAACGTGTACCGTCTAATGAAAATACGCTGATACACGTCGACAAAACTGTGTGTACTGGTTTTCTACCTGTTGTTGCTGCTATTTGGCTCTCCACTTGGTCAAGCTCATCCGTTTTATTTTGTTTTTGTTCTTGCAAAATATTGACGAGCAGTTGAACTGATTGGACTTGGTCTCCCACGACACTGCTTGCTGCTTCTACCGCGGTCGTGATGTTATCTAATACAGTCGAATCGATAACGAAGGTTCCATTCTCTATGAGTGTGGCGAAATTATCAATGAGTTGATTGAAGCAAGTGATTTGGTCGGTTGTGAGGTTGGACAGCTTGGTGGAGAGATCATTGATCATTGTAAGAAGCAGATCTGTTGGGTTGCCAGTCACGGCATTGTCCTGATTTACCTCACAATATGGATCGACCGTGACAGTGTCGCCATCTTGATCGATAGAGTAAGTAAGCGATCGGCGCTTCCTTCCGGAATTGCCAGTGGCTTCCTCGATGGCTTCAATGACTCGTTGCAGGGCTTCATTGGTGTTCTGCAGAGCTGTGAGAGTGGCGTTGGAGGCAGCAATCTGGTTCTCGAGTCTTTCAATTTCTTGAAGTAACTGTGTTTTTTTCTGTTGCAGTTCTGATAAAGTATTTTGCGTAGTTTCTTGTTTTACAGATGTTGAAAGTATTGTGGCTGATTCTGTTGGTGGCACTGTACTGGATGGTGGCAAAGTTGACTGCAAGTTTGTTTGTGGTACTATGCTGGTTGGTGTCACAGATATCGACGGTTCTGTTGGTGTCACTGTGGTGGTTGGTGGTACAGTTGTCGGCGGTTCTCTTGTTGGTGGCACTGTGGTGGTTGGTGGCACAGTTGTCAGCAGCAGTGTTGTTGATGGCACTTTGGTAGTTGGTGGAACAGTTGTCGACGGCTCTCTCATTGGTGTCACTGCGCTGGTTTGTGGCACAGTTGTCGGTGCTTCAGATGTTAGTGGCAAAGTTGTCGGTGGATTTGTTATTGGTGGCACTGTGGTGGTTGGTGGCACAGTTGTCGGTGGTTCTGTTGTTGGTGGCACTGTGGTGGTTAGTGGCACAGTTGATAGTGATTCTGTTGTTGGTGGCACTGTGCTAGTTGGTGGCACAGTTGTCGGCAGTTCTGTTGTTGGTGGCACTGTGCTGGTTGGTGGTACAGTTGTCGGTGGTTCTGTTGATGGTGACACAGTTGTCGGCGGTTCTGTTATTGGTGGCACTGTGGTGGTTGGTGGCATAATTGTCGGTGGTTCTGTTGTTGGTGGCACTGTGGTGGTTGGTGGCACAGTTGTCGGTGGTTTTGTTGTTGGTGGCACTGTGCTCGTTGGTGGCACAGTTGTCGGTGGCTCTGTTGGTGGCGCTGTGTTGGTTGGTGGCACAGTTATCGTTGATTCTGTTGTTGGCGGCACTGTGCTGGTTGGTTGCACAGTTGGCGGTTCTGTTGTTGGTGGCACTGTGCTGGTTGGTTGCACAGTTTTTGGTGGTTCTGTTGTTGGTGGCACTGTGGTGGTTGGTGGCACAGTTGCAGGTGGTTCTGTTGTTGGTGGCACTGTGCTGGTTGGTGGCACATTTGGCGGTTCAGTTGTTGGTGGCACTGTGCTGGTTGTTGGCACAGTTGTCGGTGGTTCTGTTGTTGGTGGCACTGTGCTTGTTGGCTGCACAGTTAGCGGTTCAGTTGTTGGTAGTACTGTGGTGGTTGGTGACACAGTTGTCGGTGGTCCTGTTGTTGGTGGCACTGTGGTGGTTGGTGGCACAGTTGGCGGTTCAGTTGTTGGTGGCACTGTGGTGGTTGGTTGTACAGTTGTTGGTGGTTCTGATGTTGGTGATACAGTTGTCGGCGGTTCTGTTGGTGGTGGCACTGTAGTGGTTGGTGGAATAGTTTCCGGCGGTTCTGTTGTTGGTGGCACTGTGCTGGTTGGTTGCACAGTTGTCGGTGGTTCTGTTGTTGATGGCACAGTTGTCGGTGGTTCTGTTGTTGGTGGCACTGTGGTGGTTGGTGGCACAGTTGTCGGTGGTTCTGTTGTTGGTGGCACAGTTGTCGGTGGTTCTGTAGTTGGTGGCACTGTGGTGGTTGATGGTACAGTTATCGGTGGTTCTGTTGGTGGCACAGTTGTCGGTGGTTCTGTTGGTGGCACTGTGGTGGTTGGTGGCACAGTTGGCGGTTCAGTTGTTCGTGGCACTGTGCTGGTTGGTGGTACAGTTGTCGGTGGTTCTGTTGTTGGTGACACTGTGGTGGTTTGTGGCACAGTTGTCGGCGGTTCTGTTGGTGGTGGCACTGTGTTGGTTGGTTGCACAGCTGTTGGTGGTTCTGATGTTGGTGGCACTGTAGTGGTTGGTGGCATAGTTGTCGGCGGTTCTGTTGTTGGTGGCACTGTGGTGGTTGTTGGCACAGTTATCGGCGGTTCTGTTGGTGGCACAGTTGTCGGTGGTTCTGTTGTTGGTGGCACTGTGGTGGTTGGTGGTACAGTTGTCGGTGGTTCTGTTGTTGGTCGCACTGTGCTGGTTGGTGGCACAGTTGTCGGTGGTTCTGTTGTTGGTGGCACAGTTATCGGTGGTTCTGTTGTTGGTGTCACAGTTGTCGGTGGTTCTGTTGTTGGTGGCACAGTTGTCGGCGGTTCTGTTGTTGGTGGCACTGTGGTGGTTGGTGGCACAGTTGTCGGTTCAGTTATTAGTGGCACTGCGCTGGTTGATGGTACAGTTGTCGGCGGTTCTGTTGGTGGTGGCCCTGTGGTGGTTTGTGGCACAGTTGTCGGTGGTTCTGTTGTTGGTGGCACTGTGCTGGTTGGTTGCACAGTTGGTGGTGGTTCTGTTGCTGGTGGCATTGTGGTGGTTGGTGGCACAGTTGTCGCTGGTTCTGTTGGTGGTGGCACTGTGGTGGTTAGTTGCACAGTTGTTGGTGGTTCTGCTGTTGGTGGCACTGTGGTGGTTGGTGGCACAGTTTTCGGTGGTTCTGTTGTTGGTGGCACCGTGCTGGTTGGTTGCACAGTTTTTGGTGGTTCTGTTGTTGGTGGCACTCTACTGGTGTGTGGTACAGTTGTCGGCGGTTCTGTTGGTGGTGGCACAGTGCTGGTTGGTTGCACAGTTGTCGGTGGTTCTGTTGTTGGTGGTACTGTGCTGGTTGGTGGTACAGTTGTCGGCGGTTCTGTTGTTGGCGACACTGTGGTGGCTAGTGGTACAGTTGTCGGCGGTTCTGTTGTTGGTGGCACAGTTGTCGGTGGTTCTGTTGTTGGTGGCACTGTGATGGTTGGTTGCACAGTTTTTGGTGGTCCTGTTGTTGGTGGCACTGTGCTGGTTGGTGGTACAGTTGTCGGCAGTTCTGTTGTTGGTGGCACCGTGGTGTTTAGTGGCACAGTTGTCGGCGATTCTGTTGTTGGTGGCACTGTAGTGGTTGGCGGCACAGTTATCGGTGGTTCTGTTATTGGCACAGTTGTCGTTGGTTCTGTTGTTGGTGGCACAGTTGTCGGTGGTTCTGTTGTTGGTGGCACTGTGGTGGTTGGTGGCACAGTTGTCGGTGGTTCTGTTGTTGGTTGCACTGTGTTGGTTGGTTGCACAGTTGTTGGTAGTTCTGATGTTGGTGGCACTGTAGTAGTTGGTGACATAGTTATCGGCGGTTCTGTTGTTTGTGGCAAAGTTGTCGGTGGTTCTGTTGTTGGTGGCACTGTAGTGGTTGGTGGCACAGTTGCCGGTGATTCTGATGTTTTTGGTACAGTTGTCGGTGGTTCTGTTGTTGGTGGCACTGTGGTAGTTTGTGGCACAGTTGTCGGTGGTTCTGTTGTTGGTGGCACAGTTGTCGGTGGTTCTGTTCTTGGTGGCACTGTGGTGGTTGGTGGTACAGCTGTCGGTGGTTCTGTTGTTGGTGGCACTGTGGTGGTTGGTGGCACAGTTGTCGGTGGTTCTGTTGATGGCACTGTAGTGGTTGGTGGCACAGTTTTCGGTGGTTCTGTTGGTGGCACTGTGGTGGTTGGTGGCACAGTTGTCGGCGGTTCTGTTGTTGGCGGCATTGTGGTGGTTAGTGGCACAGTTGTCGGCGGTTCTGTTGTTGGTGGCATAGTTATCGGGGGTTCTGTTGTTGGTGGCACAGTGCTGGTTGGTTGCACAGTTTTTGGTGGTTCTGTTGTTGGTGGCACTGTGGTGGTTAGTGGCACAGTTGTCGGCGGTTCTGTTGTTGGTGGCACAGTTATCGGGGGTTCTGTTGTTGTTGGCACAGTTGTCGTTGGTTCTGTTATTGGTGGCACAGTTGTCGGGAGTTCTGTTGTTGGTGGCACTGTGCTGGTTGGTTGCATAGTTTTTGGTGGTCCTGCTGTAGGTGGCACTGTGCTGGTTGGTGGTACAGTTGTCAGCAGTTCTTTTGTTGGTGGCACTGTGGTGTTTAATGGCACAGTTGTCGGTGATTCTGTTGTTGGTGGCACTGTAGTGGTTGGCGGCACAGTTATCGGCGGTTCTGTTGTTGGCACAGTTGTCGTTGGTTCTGTTGTTGGTGGCACAGTTGTCGGTGGTTCTGTTGTTGGTGGCACTGTGGTGGTTGGTGGCACAGTTGTCGGTGGTTCTGTTGTTGGTGGCACTGTGTTGGTTGGTTGCACAGTTGTTAGTGGCTCTGATGTTGGTGGCACTGTAGTAGTTGGTGGCACAGTTATCAGCGGTTCTGTTGTTTGTGGCACAGTTGTCGGTGGTTCTGTTGTTGGTGGCACTGTAGTGGTTGGTGGCATAGTTAACGGTGATTCTGATGATTTTGGTACAGTTGTCGGTGGTTCTGTTGTTGGTGGCACTGTAGTGGTTGGTGGCGCAGTTATCGGCGGTTCTGTTGTTGGTGGCACAGTTGTCGGTGGTTCTGTTCTTGGTGGCACTGTGGTGGTTGGTGGTACAGCTGTCGGTGGTTCTGTTGTTGGTGGTACAGCTGTCGGTGGTTCTGTTGTTGGTGGCACTGTGCTGGTTGGTGGCACAGTTGTCGGTGGTTCTGTTGATGGCACTGTAGTGGTTGGTGGCACAGTTTTCGGTGGTTCTGTTGTTGGTGGCACTGTGGTGGTTGGTGGCACAGTTGTCGGTGGTTTTGTTGGTTGCACAGTTGTTGGTGGTTCTGTTGTTGGTGGCACAGTTGTCGGTAGTTCTATTGTTGGTGGCATAGTTGTCAGTGGTTCTGCTGTTGGTGGCACTGTGGTGGTTGGTGGCACAGTGTTCGGTGGTTTTGTTGTTGGCACTGTGGTGGTTGGTAGCACAGTGGTCGGTGGTTCTGCTGTTGGTGGCACTGTAGTTGTTGGTGGCACAGTTGTCGGTGGTTCTGTTGTTGGTAGCACTGTGGTTGTTGGTTGCACAGTTGTCGGTAGTTCTGATGTTGGTGGTACAGTTGTCGGTGGTTCTGTTGGTGGCACTGTGGTGGATGGTGGCACAGTTGTCGGTGACACAGTGGTGGTTGGTGGTTCTGATGTTGGTGGCACAGTTGTCGGTGGTTCTGTTGTTGGTAGCACAGTTGTCGGTGATTCTGTTGTTGGTGGGACAGTTGGTGGTTCTGATGTTGGTGGCACTGTGGTTATTTGTAAAACTGTGGTTGTTGGCTGATCAGTGGTTCTTGGCTGTTCAGGGGTCGTTGCTGAAACAGTGGTTTGTAAAACTGTGGTTGTTGGTACATCACTGGTTATTGGTTGCTCAGTGGTCGTTGGTGAAAGAGTGGTTGTTTGTAAGACTGTGGTTGTTGGCCCATCAATGGTTGTTGGTCGCTCAGAGATCGTTGTTGAAAAAGTGGTTGTTTGTAAAATTGTGGTTGTTACATCACTTGTTGGTTGCTCGGAGGTCGTTGGTGAGACAGAGGTTGTTTGTAAAACTGTGGTTGGTTCATGAGTGGTTGTAGGTTGCTTAGAGGTCATTGGGGACATAGTAGTTATTTGTGAAACCGTGGTGATTGATTGTGCAGTAGTTGCTGGTGGCCGTGTGGTTCGCTGATTTTCTGTCGTTGGTGGGTCAGTGGTTAATGTTGGTGTGATTGTTTGCTCAGTGGCTTTTGGTGACATAGTTGATATAACTCCGCTTGTTAGTTCCTTAGTAGTTATCAGTGGTGTTGACTGCATTGCAGTCGTTGGTTGCTTAGTGGAAGTAGGTGACAGTGTAGTTACGTTTTCATTGGTGGGGAGCTTAGTTACCGTTGTATGAAATTCGGTGGTTGTTGGAGGGTCTGCGGATTTAAGTTTTAAGTAAATATGTATAAAAACATATGTGTATATACATATGCATGTGTATATACATATACATATGTGTATATACATGTGTATATACACATATATTTGTATATACATATATATTTGTATAAACATATAAACATGAGTATATACATTTGTGTATATACACATATATTTGTATATACATATATATTTGTATAAACATATAAATATGCGTATATACATTTGTGTATATATATATATGCATATATACTGTATATATGTATATATATGTAATATGTATACATACATACATTTATATATATTATACACTGACAGACACCCACACCTTGATTTAGATTTTATATTTGCAACATCTGATATATAGCCTTTTATTTCAAAGATTTTTAAAGATCAGGAAAGCAAGTTGTTAAACATATATTTGTATATACATATATATTTGTATAAACATATAAACATGAGTATATACATTTGTGTATATACACATATATTTGTATATACATATATATTTGTATAAACATATAAACATGAGTATATACATTTGTGTATATACACATATATTTGTATATACATATATATTTGTATAAACATATAAACATGAGTATATACATTTGTGTATATACACATATATTTGTATATACATATATATTTGTATAAACATATAAACATGAGTATATACATTTGTGTATATACACATATATTTGTATATACATATATATTTGTATAAACATATAAACATGAGTATATACATTTGTGTATATACACATATATTTGTATATACATATATATTTGTATAAACATATAAACATGAGTATATACATTTGTGTATATACACATATATTTGTATATACATATATATTTGTATAAACATATAAACATGAGTATATACATTTGTGTATATACACATATATTTGTATATACATATATATTTGTATAAACATATAAACATGAGTATATACATTTGTGTATATACACATATATTTGTATATACATATATATTTGTATAAACATATAAACATGAGTATATACATTTGTGTATATACACATATATTTGTATATACATATATATTTGTATATACATATATATTTGTATATACATATATATTTGTATAAACATATAAACATGAGTATATACATTTGTGTATATACACATATATTTGTATATACATATATATTTGTATAAACATATAAACATGAGTATATACATTTGTGTATATACACATATATTTGTATATACATATATATTTGTATAAACATATAAACATGAGTATATACATTTGTGTATATACACATATATTTGTATATACATATATATTTGTATAAACATATAAACATGAGTATATACATTTGTGTATATACACATATATTTGTATATACATATATATTTGTATAAACATATAAACATGAGTATATACATATCTGCGATCACCCACGTTAACCTTCAGTTTTCTTTCTAATAGTCCTCCCTGTAGGTCAAGGAAGTGACCTACATGGAAGTCGCAACGCACCAGCTGGGGGCAAGTGATATAGCAATTATTGAAGATACTATACATCTACCGAGTGTTTTAATCATATTATACATGTTTTGCGTAAAAAAAGGGGATGCACCCCCTCCTATGACAGCAATCCAACAATGGTATTGTCAATTAGAAAACAAGAAAGAACTGGTTAAATAGTATTTATACCAGGTTTTACTATTCTCACAAAGGAACGCACACGGGTAAAAAGAAGTATAGATGAGGGAGTTCAGAAAGGAGAAAGACAGAATAAAAGAAAATGATGGGAGACAGCAATAAAGAGAACCATCACACTTCTCTTTTTATTATAAAATAATTGTTATAATAATGATGATGAGAAATAAATGATAATGAGTAAAATTTCCAATGAAACACCAGTCATCTATCGTAACCAGGTCCTCCCCTCACCCCGTCTTATCCCTATTCCTTCCCGGATCGCCTTTTCATTTTGTCGTCGCGTCTTTCATTTTAGATGTGAGGAATACTGCGCCATCTACGGGCGTCATGTAGTAACACATGGCAAAATGTGAAAGTGGACTTTTGCTCTGTACATGTATGCATGTACATGAACATGCATACATGAAAAATTTGCTTATGTTATGTTTAAAATACAATTTTCCTTACGGTAATTTCCCTCTTTAAAGGTCATCAAATTAAATTAGATCGTGCACCGTCTAATGAAAATACGCTGATACACGTCGACAAAACTGTGTGTACTGGTTTTCTACCTGTTGTTGCTGCTATTTGGCTCTCCACTTGGTCAAGCTCATCCGTTTTATTTTGTTTTTGTTCTTGCAAAATATTGACGAGCAGTTGAACTGATTGGACTTGGTCTCCCACGACACTGCTTGCTGCTTCTACCGCGGTCGTGATGTTATCTAATACAGTCGAATCGATAACGAAGGTTCCATTCTCTATGAGTGTGGCGAAATTATCAATGAGTTGATTGAAGCAAGTGATTTGGTCGGTTGTGAGGTTGGACAGCTTGGTGGAGAGATCATTGATCATTGTAAGAAGCAGATCTGTTGGGTTGCCAGTCACGGCATTGTCCTGATTTACCTCACAATATGGATCGACCGTGACAGTGTCGCCATCTTGATCGATAGAGTAAGTAAGCGATCGGCGCTTCCTTCCGGAATTGCCAGCGGCTTCCTCGATGGCTTCAATGACTCGTTGCAGGGCTTCATTGGTGTTTTGCAGAGCTGTGAGAGTGGCGTTGGAGGCAGCAATCTGGTTCTCGAGTCTTTCAATTTCTTGAAGTAACTGTGTTTGTTTTTGCTGCAGTTCTGATAAAGTATTTTGTGTAGTCTCTGGTTTTACAGAAGTTGGTAATATTATGGTTGATTCTGTTGTTGGTGGCACTGTGCTGGTTAGTAGCACTATACCGGTTGATAGCTCTGTATTGGTTGGTGGCACAGTTGACAGCAAGTCTGTTTGTGGCACTGTGGTGATTGGTGTCACAGTTACCGACGGTTCTGTTGGTGGCAATGTGCTGGTTGGTGGCATAGTTGTCGGCGGTTCTGTTGTTGGTGGGACTCTGGTAGTTGGTACAGTTGTCGACGGCTCTCTTATTGGTGACACTGTGCTGGTTGGTGGCACAGTTGCCGGTGTTTCTGATGTTGGTGGCAAAGTTGTCGGTAGTTCTGTTGTTGATGGCACAGTTGTCGATGGTTCTGTTGTTGATGGCACTGTCGTGGTTGGTGGCACATTTGTCGGTGGTTCTGTTGTTGGTGGCACTGTGGTAGTTGGTAGCACAGTTGTCGGTGGTTCTGTTGTTAGTGGCACTGTGGTGGTTGGTTGCACAGTTGTCGGCGGTTCTGTTGTTTGTGGCACAGTTGTTGGTGGCACTGTGGTGGTTGATGGCACAGTTGTTGGTGGTTCTGTTGTTGGTGGCACTGTGGTGGTTGGTAGCACAGTTGTTGGTGGTACTGTGGTGTTTGGTTGCACAGTTGTCGGCGGTTCTGTTGTTGGTGGCACTGTGGTGGTTGGTGGCACAGTTGTCGGTAGTTCTGTTGTTGGTGGCACTGTGGTGGTTGGTGGCACAGTTGTCGGCGGTTCTGTTGTTGGTGGCAGAGTTGTTGTTGGTGACACTGTGGTGGTTGGTTGCACAGTTGTTGGTGGCACTGTGGTGTTTGGTGGCACAGTTGTCGGCGGTTCTGTTGTTGGTGGCACTGTGGTGGTTGGTAGCACAGTTGTTGGTGGTACTGTGGTGTTTGGTTGCACAGTTGTCGGCGGTTCTGTTGTTGGTGGCACTGTGGTGGTTGGTGGCACAGTTGTCGGTGGTTCTATTGTTGGTGGCAGAGTTGTTGTTGGTGACACTGTGGTGGTTGGTTGCACAGTTGTTGGTGGCACTGTGGTGGTTGGTTGCACAGTTGTCGGCGGTTCTGTTGTTGGTGGCACTGTGGTGGTTGGTAGCACAGTTGTTGGTGGCACTGTGGTGGTTGGTAGCACAGTTGTTGGTGGTACTGTGGTGTTTGGTTGCACAGTTGTCGGCGGTTCTGATGTTGGTGGCACTGTGGTGGTTGGTGGCACAGTTGTCGGTGGTTCTGTTGTTGGTGGCACTGTGGTGGTTGGTGGCACAGTTGTCGGCGGTTCTGTTGTTGGTGGCAGAGTTGTTGTTGGTGACACTGTGGTGGTTGGTTGCACAGTTGTTGGTGGCACTGTGGTGGTTGGTGGCACAGTTGTCGGTGGTTCTGTTGTTGGTGGCACTGTGGTGGTTGGTTGCACAGTTGTCGGCGGTTCTGTTGTTGGTGGCACAGTTGCCGGCGGTTCTGTTGTTGGTGGCACTGCGGTGGTTGGTGGCACAGTTGTCGGTGGTTCTGTTGGTGGTGGCACTGTGGTGGTTAGTGGCACAGTTGTCGGCGGTTCTGTTGTTGGTGGTACTGTGCTGGTTGGTGTCACAGTTGTCAGTGATTCTGATGTGGGTGGCACTGTGCTGGTTGGTTGCACAGTTGTCGGTGGTTCTGTTGTTGGTGGCACTGTGCTGGTTGGTGGTACAGTTGTCGATGGTTCTGTTGTTGGTGGCACTGTGGTGGTTGGTGGCACAGTTGTCGGTGGTTCTGTTGTTGGTGGCACTGTGGTTGTTGGTTGCACAGTTGTCGGTGGTTCTGTTGTTGGTGGCACTGTGGTGGTTGGTGGCACAGTTGTCGGCAGTTCTGTTGTTGGTGGCACTGTGGTGGTTGGTGGCACAGTTGTTGGTGGTTTTGTTGTTGGTGGCACTGTGGTGGTTGATTGCACAGTTGTCGGCGGTTCTGTTGTTGGTGGCACAGTTGCCGGCGGTCCTGTTGTTGGTGGGACTGTGGTAGTTGGTGGCACAGTTGTTGGTGGTTCTGTTGTTGGTGGCACTGTGCTGGTTGGTGGCAAAGTTGTCGGCGGTTCTGTTGTTGGTGGCACTGTGCTGGTTGGTGGCACAGTTGTCGGTGGTTCTGATTTTGGTGGCACTGTGCTGGTTGGTTGCACAGTTGTCGGTGGTTCTGTTGTTGGTGGCACTGTGCTGGTTGGTGGCACAGTTGTCGGTGGTTCTGATTTTGGTGGCACTGTGCTGGTTGGTTGCACAGTTGTCGGTGGTTCTGTTGTTGGTGGCACTGTGCTGGTTGGTTGCACAGTTGTCGGTGGTTCTGTTGTTGTTGGCACTGTGGTGGTTGGCGGCACAGTTGTTGGTGGTTTTGTTGTTGGTGGCACTGTGGTGGTTGGTGTCACAGTTGTCGGTGGTTTTGTTGTTGGTGGCAATGTGGTGGTTGATGGCACATTTGTCGGTGGTTCCGTTGTTGGTGGCATTGTGGTGGTTGATGTCACAGTTGTCGGCAGTTCTGTTGTTGGTGGCACTGTGGTGGTTGGTGGCACAGTTGTCGGCAGTTCTGTTGTTGCTGGCACTGTGGTGATTGGTTGCACAGTTGTCGGCGGTTCTGTTGTTGGTGGCACTGCGGTGGTTGGTGGCACAGTTGTCGGTGGTTCTGTTGTTGGTGGCACTGTGCTGGTTGGTGGCACAGTTGTCGGCGGTTCTGTTGTTGGTGGCACTGTGGTGGTTGGTGGTACAGATGTCGGTGGTTCTGTTGTTGGTGGCACTGTGCTGGTTGGTTGCACAGTTGTCGGCGGTTCTGTTGTTGGTGGCACTGTGGTGGTTAGTGGCACAGTTGTCGGTGTTTCTGTTGTTGGTGGCACTGTGCTGGTTAGTGGCACAGTTGTCGGTGGTTCTGTTGTTGGTGGCACTGTGGTGGTTGGCGGTACAGTTGTCGGCGGTTCTGTTGTTGGTGGCACTGTGGTGGTTGGTGGCACAGTTGTCGGTGGTTCTGTTGTTGGTGGCACTGTGGTGGTTGATGGCACAGTTGTCGGTGGTTCTGTTGTTGGTGGCACTGTGGTGGTTGATGGCACAGTTGTCGGCAGTTCTGTTGTTGGTGGCACTGTGGCTGGTTGGTGGCACAGTTGTCGGCAGTTCTGTTGTTGGTGGCACTGTGGTGGTTGGTGGCACAGTTGTCGGCGGTTCTGTTGTTGGTGGCACTGTGGGGGGTTAGTGCACCGTTGCGGCAGCTGTATGGATGTTACTGGGTATATAGTTGTTGCGAGTTTATGGGTGAACATTGGTAATGAATTGTGAATTTATGTCAAATGTATGTATGTTGAGCATGGATCTATAGTGATTTGTAAATTCTTGATTATTGTAAAAAAATACCCGTTCTACTTATTTATAGACCTTAATAGGCGAACTATAGCTAATTTAAGGCACACTGAAAAAAAAGTAAGACAATGGTATAGCTGTTCATGAAGACAAAATCTAGAGTAATAGAATTGGTGGTTTAATTGCGTATTTATGCCAGGTTTTATTTACTGTTCCTTCATAAAGGAAAGTCACACAGGTAAGAAATTATATAATATATAGATAGCGGAGTTAGAAAGTGGAGTAGATACAGAATAAATGGAAAATTATGGGGAGAGCAGGCAATTAAAGAGAACCACCAAGTTCCTCTTCTATCTATAAAATTATTAGTTATACATGATGATACAGAATATAATGATATGAGTAATTGCCATGAAACACCGAAAGCACGTCACCTATGCGCAAGCCAGGTCTATCCCCTCTTACACCCGGGTGCGGGGGGGGGGGGGGAGGCCTTCTGTTATGCACCTATTTTCGCTTCCCGGATCGCCTTTTTATTTGTCGTCGCGCTCTTTTCATTTGATATTTAGAATGGCAAGAATACTGGGGGCCCTGCTACGGGCGACATGTAGAGAAGCACATGTGCAAACTGTGAAAGTGACTTTTGCTGCTGTATACATGTTGCTGTAGTCATGAACATGCTACATGTAAATTTGGCTTATGTTATGCTTAAGAATACAATTTTCGCTTAGCAGAAAAAAAAAAGAAAAAAAAAAAAAAAAAAAAAAAAAAAAAAAAAAAAACAGTTGTCGGTGGTTCTGTTGTTGGTGGCACAGTTGTTGGTTTTGTTGTTGGTGGCACTGTGGTGGTTGCTTGCACAGTTGTCGGCGGTTCTGTTGTTGGTGGCACTGTGGTGGTTGGTGGCACAGTTGTTGGTGGCACTGTGGTGGTTGGTTGCACAGTTGTCGGCGGTTCTGTTGTTGGTGGCACTGTGCTGGTTGGTGGCACAGTTGTCGGTGGTTCTGATGTTGGTGGCACTGTGCTGGTTGGTTGCACAGTTGTCGGTGGTTCAGTTGTTGGTGGCACTGTGGTGGTTGGTGGTACAGTTGTCGATGGTTCTGTTGTTGGTGGCACTGTGGTTGTTGGTTGCACAGTTGTCGGTGGTTCTGTTGTTGGTGGCATTGTGGTGGTTGGTTGCACAGTTGTCGGCGGTTCTGTTGTTGGTGGCACTGTGGTGGTTGGTGGCACAGTTGTCGGTGGTTCTGTTGTTGGTGGCACTGTGGTGGTTGATGGCACATTTGTCGGTGGTTCCGTTGTTGGTGGCACTGTGGTGGTTGATGTCACAGTTGTCGGCAGTTCTGTTGTTGGTGGCACTGTGGTGGTTGGTGGCACAGTTGTCGGCAGTTCTGTTGTTGGTGGCACTGTGGTTATTGGTTGCACAGTTGTCGGCGGTTCTGTTGTTGGTGGCACTGTGCTGGTTGGTTGCACAGTTGTCGGTGGTTCTGTTGTTGGTGGCACTGTGGTGGTTGGTGGCACAGTTGTCGATGGTTCTGTTGTTGGTGGCACTGTGCTGGTTGGTTGCACAGTTGTCGGTGGTTCTGTTGTTGGTGGCAGTGTGGTTGTTGATTGCACAGTTGTCGGTGGTTCTGTTGTTGGTGGCACTGTGGTGGTTGATGTCACAGTTGTCGGCAGTTCTGTTGTTGGTGGCACTGTGGTGGTTGGTGGCACAGTTGTCGGCAGTTCTGTTGTTGGTGGCACTGTGGTGATTGGTTGCACAGTTGTCGGCGGTTCTGTTGTTGGTGGCACTGTGGTGGTTGGTTGCACAGTTGTCGGTGGTTCTGTTGTTGGTGGCACTGTGCTGGTTGGTGGTACAGTTGTCGATGGTTCTGTTGTTGGTGGCACTGTGGTTGTTGGTTGCACAGTTGTCGGTGGTTCTGTTGTTGGTGGCACTGTGGTTGTTGGTTGCACAGTTGTCGGTGGTTCTGTTGTTGGTGGCACTGTGGTGGTTGGTGGCACAGTTGTCGGTGGTTCTGTTATTGGTGGCATTGTGGTGGTTGGTTGCACAGTTGTCGGTGGTTCTTGTGGTGGTTGGCGGAACAGTTGTTGGTGGTTTTGTTGTTGGTGGCACTGTGGTGGTTGGTGTCACAGTTGTCGGTGGTTCTGTTGTTGGTGGTACTGTGGTGGTTGATGGCACATTTGTCGGTGATTCCGTTGTTGGTGGCACTGTGGTGGTTGGTGGCACAGTTTTCGGCAGTTCTGTTGTTGGTGGCACTGTGGTGGTTGGTGGCACAGTTTTCGGTGGTTCTGTTGTTGGTGGCACTGTGGTGGTTGGTGGCACAGTTGTCGGCGGTTCTGTTGTTGGTGGCACTGTGGTGGTTGGTGGCACAGTTGTTAGTGGTTCTGTTGTTGGTGGCACTGTGGTGGTTGGTGGCACAGTTGTCGGTGGTTCTGTTGTTGGTGGCACTGTGGTGGTTGGTGGCACAGTTGTCGGTGTTTCTGTTGTTGGTGGCACTGTGCTGGTTGGTTGCACAGTTGTCGGTGGTTCTGTTGTTGGTGGCACTGTGCTGGTTGGTGGTACAGTTGTCGGTGGTTCTGTCGTTGGTGGCACTGTGGTGGTTGGTTGCACAGTTGTCGGTGGTTTCGTTGTTGGTGGCACTGTGGTGTTTGGTGTCACAGTTGTCGGCGGTTCTGTTGTTGGTGGCACTGTGGTGGTTGGTGGCACAGTTGTTGGTGGCACTGTGGTGCTTGGTTGCACAGTTGTCGGCGGTTCTGTTGTTGGTGGCACAGTTGTCGGCGGTTCTGTTGTTGGTGGCACTGCGGTGGTTGGTGGTTCTGTTGTTGGTGGCACTGTGGTGGTTGGTGGCACAGTTGTCGGCGGTTCTGATGTTGGTGGCACTGTGGTGGTTGGTTGCACAGTTGTCGGTGGTTCTGTTGTTGGTGGCACTGTGCTGGTTGGTGGTACAGTTGTCGGCAGTTCTGTTGTTGGTGGCACTGTGGTTGTTGGTTGCACAGTTGTCGGTGGTTCTGTTGTTGGTGGCACTGTGCTGGTTGGTTGCACAGTTGTCGGTGGTTCTGTTGTTCGTGGCACTGTGGTGGTTGGTTGCACAGTTGTCGGTGGTTCTGTTGTTGGTGGCACTGTGGTGGTTGGTTGCACAGTTGTCGGTGGTTCTGTTGTTAATGGCACAGTTGTCGGCGGTTCTGTTGTTGGTGGCACTTTGGTGGTTGGTGGCACAGTTGTCGGTGGTTCTGTTGTTGGTGGCACTGTGGTGGTTGGTGGCACAGTTGTCGGTGGTTCTGATGTTGGTGGCACTGTGGTGGTTGGTGGCACAGTTGTCGGTGGTTCTGTTGTTGGTGGCACTGTGCTGGTTGATGGCACAGTTGTCGGCGGTTCTGATGTTGGTGGCACTGTGGTGGTTGGTGACACAGTTGATGGCACTGTGGTGGTTGGTGGCACAGTTGTCGGTAGTTCTGTTGGTGGCACAGTTGTTGGCGGTTCTGTTGTTGGTGGCACAGTTGTCGGCGGTTCTGATGTTGGTGGCACTGTAGTTGTTGGTTGCACAGTTGTCGGTGGTTTTGATGTTGGTGGCACTGTAGTTGTTGGTTGCACAGTTGTTGGTGGCACTGTTGTGGTTGGTGGCACAGTTGTCGGTGGTTTTGATGTTGGTGGCACAGTTGTCGGTGGTTTTGATGTTGGTGGTACTGTGGTGGTTGGTGACACACTTTTCGGTGGTTTTGATGTTGGTGGCACTGTTCTGGTTTGTGGCACAGTTGTCAGTGGTTCTGATGTTGATGGCACTGTGGTGGTTGGTGTCACAGTTATCGGCGGTTCTGATGTTGGTGGCACTGTGGTGATTGGTGGCACAGCTGTCGGTGGTTCTGTTGGTGCCACAGTTATCGGTGGTTCTGTTGTTGGTAGCACTGTGCTGGTTGGTGGTACTGTTGTCGATGATTCTGATGTTGGTGGCACTGTGCTGATTGGTGGTACTGACATTGGTGACACAGTGGTTGTTGGCTCATCAGTGGTTCTTGGTTGCTCAGAGGTCGTTGCTGAAACAATGGTTGTTTGTAAAACTTCGGTTGTTGGTTCATCAGTGGTCGTTGGTTGCTCATAAGTTGTTGGTGAAAATGTGGTTGTTTGTAAAACTGTGGTTATTACATCACTGGTTGTTGGTTCATCAGTGGTCGTTGGTTGCTCATAAGTTGTTGGTGAAAATGTGGTTGTTTGTAAAACTGTGGTTATTACATCACTGGTTGTTGGTTGGTCAGAGGTCGTTGGTGAAACGGTTTGTAAAACTGTGGTTGTTGGTTCATAAGTGGTTATTGGTTGCTCTGTGGGCGTTGGTGAAACAGTGGTTGTTTGTAAAACTGTGGTTGTTGGCCCATCAGTGGTCGTTGGTCGCTCTGAAGTCGTTGGTGACACAGCAGTTGTTTTTAAAATTGTGGTTATTACATCACTGGTTGTTGGTTGCTCAGTGGTCGTTGGTGACACAGTGGTTGTTTGTAAAACTGTGGTCGTTGGTTGCTCAGAGGTCATTGGGGACATAGTAGTTATTTGTGGAACCGTGGTGATTGATTGTGCAGTGGCTGTTAGTGGCCGTGTGGTTCGTTGATTTTTTGTCGTTGGTGGGTCAGTGGTTATTGTTGATGGTGTGATTGTTTGCTCAGTGGCTTTTGGTGACATAGTAGTTGATATAACTCCGGTTGTTTGTTCCTCGGTAGTTTTCAGTGGTGTTGACTGCATTGTAGTCGTTGGATGTTTAGTGGAAGTAGGTGGCAGTGTAGTTATATTTTCATTGGTGGGGAGCTTAGTTACCGTTGTATGTAATTCGGTGGTTGTTGGAGGGCCTGCGGATTTTAAGTTTTAAGTGAATATGTACATAAACATATATGTGTATATACACATATATTTGTATATACATATATGTGTATATACATATAAATATGAGTATATACATTTGTGTGTGTATATATATATATATATATATATATATATAAGCATGTATACTGTATATATGTATATAAATGTAATGTGTATATATACATATATATAGTATATGTATACATACATACATTTATATATATTATACACTTATAGACACCCACAACATGATATAGATTTTATATTTGCAACATTTGATATATAGCCTTTTATTTCAAAGACTTTTGAAGATCAGGAAAGCAAGCTGTTAATCATCGTTCATGATTTTATTCCTGAAACATAAAATTACTAAATAAAGGAGGATTGTATAACAGTGGCCCCCAATCACTCTATACACACGAATCCTTTCTCAAACATCTGACATATCCGCGATCACCCACGTTAACCTTCAATTTTCTTTCTAACAATCCTCCATGTAAGTCAAGGAAGTGACCTACTTGGGAGTCGTAACGCACCAGCTGGAAATAAGTGATATAGCAGATGCTGAAGATACTGTACATCTACCGAGTGTTTTAATCACACGATACATGGTTTGCGTAAAAAAGGTGATGCATCCCCTCCTATGACAGCAATCCAACAATGGTATTGACAATTAGAAATCAAGAAAGAACTGGTTAAATTGTATTTATACCAGGTTTTACTATTCTCACAAAGGAACGCACACGAGTAAAAAGAAGTAAAGATGAGGGAGTTCAGAAAGGAGAGACAATAAAAGAAAATTATGAGAGACAGCAATAAAGAGAACCATCAAACTTCTCTTTTTATTATAAAATAATAGTTATAATAATGATGATGATTAGAAATAAATGATAATGAGTAAAATTTCCAATGAAACACCAAACAGTTGTCATCTATCGCAACCAGGTCCTCCCCTCACCCCGTCTTGTTATCCTTTTTACTTCCCAGATCGCCTTTTCATTTTGTCGCAAACTGTGAAAGTGGACTTTTGCTCTGTATATGTATGCATGTACATGAACATGCATATATGTAAAATTTGCTTATGTTATGTTTAAAATACAATTTTCCTTACGGTAATTTCCCTCTTTAAAGGTCATCAAATTAACTTACGTGTACCGTCTAATGAAAATACACGTCGATAAAACTGTGTGCACTGGTTTTCTACCTGTTGCTGCTAGTTGGCTCTCCACTTGGTCAAGCTCATCCATTCTGTTTTGTTTTTGCAAAATACTGACGTGCAATTGAACTGATTGGACTTGGTCTCCCACGACACTACTTGCTGCTTCTATCGCGGTCATGATGCTATCTAATACAGTCGAATCGATAAAGAAGGTTCCTTTATCAATGAGTGTGGCGAAATTATCAATGAGTGGTTGTTTGTAAATTTGTGGTTGTTAGTTCATCAGTAGTTGTTGGTTGCTCAGAGGTCGTTGGTGACACAGTGGTTGTTTGTAGATCTGTGGTTGTTGGTTCATCAGTAGTTGCTGGAGGTCGTTGGTGACACAGCGGTTATTGGTTGCTCAGAGGTCGTTTGTGATGCATTGGTTGTTTGTGAAACTGTGGTTGTTGGTTGCCCAAAGGTCGTTGGTGAAACAGTGTTAGTTTTTGAAACTGTGGTTGTTGGTTGGTCAGAGGTCCTTGGTGACCCATTGTTTGGTTGTAACACAGTGGTTGTTGGTTGTTCAGAGATCGTTTGTGACACAATGTTTGTGAAACTGTGTTTGTTGGGTCACCAGTGGTTGTTGGTTGTCCAGAGGTCGTTGGTGACACAGTGGTTGTTTGTAAAACTATGGTTGTTTGTTCATCAGTGGTTGTTTTTGTTACTGTGTTGGTTCATCAATGGTCGTTGGTTGCTCAGAGGTCGTTGGTGTCGCAGTGGTTGTTTTTCAAACTGTGGTTGTTGGTTCATCAGTGTTTGCTAGTTGCTCAGAGGTCGTTACTAACTTAGAGGCTGTTTGTAAAACTGTGGTTGTTGGTTGGTCAGAAATAATTGGTGACACGGTGGTTGCTGAAACTATGGTTGTTTGGTCAAAGGTCGCTACTTGGTCAGAAGTCGTTGGTGAGAAAGTGGTTGTTTGTAAAACTTTGGTTGTTGATTCATCAGTGGGTGTTGGTTGGTCTGAGGTCCTTGCTGTTTCAGTTGTTTGTACAACTGTGGTTGTTGGTTGGTCAGAGGTCGTTGGTGATAGTTTGCAAAACCGTGGTTGTTTTTTCATCAGTGGTTGTTGAGTGCTCATTGGTTGATGACAGAGTCGCTATTTGTGAAACTGTGGTTGTTGTTTTTTATAGTAGTTGTATGTTGCTCAGAGGTCGCTGTTTGTAAAATAATGGTTGTTGGTTGTTGAGAAGTTGTAGGTGACACACTGGTTGTTTGTAAAACTGTGGTTGTTGGTTGGCCAGAGGTCGTTAGTGACACTGTGGTTGTTTGTAAAACTGTGGTTGTTGGTTGGCCAGAGGTCGTTAGTGACACTGTGGTTGTTTGTAAAACTGTTGTTGTTGGTACATTAGTTGTTGGTTGTTCAGAGGTCGCAGGTGACAAAGTGGTTGTTTGTAAAACTGAGGTTGTTAGTTTATCAGCAGTTGTTGGTTGCTCAGAGGTTGTGAAACTGTATTTGTTGGATCATCAGTGGTTGTTGGTTGTCCAAAGGTCGTTGATGACACAGTGGTTGTGTTTGAAACTGTGGTTGTTGGTTCAACAGTGGTTTTTGGTGACGGAGTGGTTGTTGTGTAACTGTGATTGTTGGTTCATAAATGGCTGTTGATTGTTCAGATGTGGTTGGTGACACAGATGTTGTTGGTTCAGCAGTAGTTGTTGATTGCTCAGAGGTTTGAGTCGTTGAAACTGAAACTGTGGTCGTTGGTTCGTCAGAGGTCGTTGGTGACCCAATGGTTGTTTGTAAAACAGTTGTTGTTGGCTGTTCAGAGGTCGCTTGTGTCACAGTGGTTGTTTTTTCATCAATAGTTATTGGTTGCTCAGAGGTTGGTGAAACTGTGGCTGTTGGTTGCCCAGAGGTCGTTGGTGACGCAGTGGTTGTTTGTGAAAGTGTGGTTGGTTCGTCGGTGGTATTTAGTTGCACAGAGGTCGTTGGTAACAGTGGTTGTTTGCATAAATGTGGTTGTTGGTTCATCAGTGGTCGTCGATTGCCCAGGGGTTGTTGATATCACAGTGGTTGTTGGTTCATCAGCGGTTTTTGGTTGTTTAGAGTT